CCATAAAGACATCGGGATAGTTCAAGTTAAGATAACGTGACGTATACAAAATGTGTATAGACAAATATTTGTCATATAGAAGAACAACTTCCGGCAGCTCGAGGTTAGCATCACAGAAACACAGGAATGGCTGAACCTCCTAAAAACGATATTCATCTGCATCCCGAAGGACCGCTCCCGACAAGAAACCACGTTCAACGGCAAAGAAAAGAAGCGACACGAGTAAATCTGGATGTGGCTTTCCACCGCTGGAGACGGCTCCTGAGAGGAAAGAGATGCGGTTTGATGCCGAGCTTGCAACTTTCCTGTTAGCCTGGTGAGTAGCATCTATGTTAGCTCTTTAGCTAAAAGTATAATCAGTGCAACGGCTGACAAACTGTACCGACAAACATTTCAGGTGGTGACGTTTTAGCGGTTACTAGGATTGTGTCTGTTGCTCTCGGCTGTTGTACAGCTAGTGACGTCAGTAACTTTAGGCTCATTTTGTAACTGATGACTGTAACTTGAGATTGTATGGACCCAGTAGACCGAGTGAATACACGTCTATCAGTTCACCATGTTGTAACCACTTTACATTACTGTTAGGAGATCAGCCATGATTGAAAGTGCACTAGGTCTTTACATTTCTCAGGAGATTTCAGCATCCCTCTGTCTTTATCAGGACCTGAGCCAGTACAGATGCAATACCGCCTCCACCCGTCTCACCAACGGCAGAGAGTCCAGACAGTGAGGAGGGTCTAGGTGAGTAACATGCTATCATTCACTTTTAACAGTAAGACTTGTCTATACCACTGTGATTAAATCAGACCCACAGTGTAAACATGTTCATACTGCTGGTTCTTAATGATGAATATACCACTGCCTATATTGGTTATGTATTTTACAGTATATGCATATTTGTATTACTCAATTTGTTAGTTACATAGTGTGTGTTTACACTGGATTCTTATCACTCCTCTAGTTGTTTATCCTTCATTTCCTTGCATTTACATTTCATAATATTCATACTGTGTTAATTTTTTGCATATTCATATTTATCCTCACGATTTATTATACTCACACAACAGACCTAACATGTTTGAATATAAAGAACTGGTATGATCTAAAGGAATTGTCCTATCACATGTTTGTCTGTATCAGGACCAGAAGTCCAGTCTAATCTTCACCAATGATGGACCAGCACCTGCCTTTTCTTCATCTGGCCTCATCAATCATCAACCACATTACATCAACACCTTGAGGTATGATCCCTGCACATGACAGATATTGTCTATACTGTGATCTCTTGCACATCCTCTAATCAATACCTTTTGCACATCTTGCCCAGCAGGAGTTTTGTCATTCTAAAACACTTTTGTTGCTGCCTCACCACATCTGTGTGTGTGTGTGTGTGTGTGTGTGTGTGTGTGTGTGTGTGTGTGTGTGTATATTAATCTCTTCTACAAATTCTGTACATGTATCATTTATTCATAAAGTCTTGTTTTTATTACAGTAGATGCTAAATGAGGTTTAAATGGATAATTGATTCATCTTTTATGTTCTTAAATTACATGTCCTTATTTTTCCTTTTGTTTTCATAGGGACGGCAGAATCCACCTCGGGCCAGAACCACACCTCGCCCAGCAAGAAACGGTAAGTCCTGCACATTACTCCACCCCATACATATAGGCTCAAATTAGACTCAAAATGACTGAGCTTGTAAAGTGACCTTAATAAATAATTCCCATGTTTGTAGTTGTAAATCAACATTTGTTAACCTGTAAAATAAATCTGCATGACAAATTCAAGTTTCTGCATGTGTAGAAGAGGTTTGTATTTGTATTTGTATCAGTCTGAATGTAAATTATGAACAAATGATCAGTGGTGAAATTAAACAAAACATGTGAAAAGAAGAAATGGTTTTGTCAACATCTGTGTCCTGATACAGAGAAGAAAACTGTAAAACGCTGTTCCCACACACTGACGTTACAAGGGTCAAAACTTGCAGTTGTCAGTGTCGCACACTGGGAGTGTTGCGTGCTGAGTTTTACAGTTTTCTGCTGTGTCTGCACAGACATCCACCAAAGCATTTCTTCTTTCCCTGTCTTTGTTTTTGAAAATAAATCTGCTTGAGAAATTCAAGTTTGCGTATGTGAAACAATTGCACTTGTGTCAAAGAGATTTGTATTTGTTGAAAGTCTGAATCAAACCTCAACAAATGATCAGTGTTGAGGTTGAACAAAGACACTGTAAAATAAGAAATGGATTTGTCAACATCTGTGTCGTGATACAGAGAAGAAAACTGTAAAACTCTGGTCAAAAGTTCCCACAGTGACACTGAAGTGACGAGGATCAAACTTTGTACTTGTCAGTGTCTCACACTGGGAATGTTGCTCACTGAGTTTTACAGTTTTCTGCTCTTTATCTCTGAACACAGACGTCCACAAAAGCATTTCTTCTTTCCTTGTTGTCAGGTCCCGTTAAGTTGTTTAGTTTTTCCACTTCCTGTTTTATTTTATTTGGATACCCTCACTTCCTGTTTGTGTTTCTTCTCAGTGTCTTGACTCCCTGTGTGTGTGATTGCTCATTGTCTTCCCCTGTGTCTCATTATCCCCTCTCCCTGTGTGTATTTATACCCCTCCTCTCCCAGTGTGTCTTTGTCAGATCGTCTGCGTTTCTTGTCGCAGCGTTCCGGCTCATTTTCCTTGTGTTTTGACCCCTCGTGCATTCCCCAAGATTCTGATTCCTGGTTCTTGTTTTTTGCCTTAAGATTTTGTACTTCTGCCTGGTTTGACTGACTGCCTGTGTACCGACCCTTTTTTCTGGAATAAACTGTCTGTTGCTAACCGTCTGCCTCAGCTCTGCTTTGTGGGTCCACAGCCTGTCTGCTCAGTTCATGACACCTGTGTCTGTGTTGAACCTCACCACTGATCATTTGTTCAGTTTTGATTCACACTGTCTGAACAAATACAAATCTCTTTGCCACAAGCACAATTTGTTTTCACATGCACAAACTTGAATTTCTCCTGCAGATTTATTTTCCAGGTTTACAAAGTTTGATTTACAACTACAAATACTTTATAAGCTCAAAATCATTTTGAGCCTAATTTGAACCAGGGGTTAAGTCGGGGGCATGCATTAGCATTTTTTAAAATTTATTTATTTTTTTAAATCTTTATTGGTGAAAAACAGGGACAAATAGAATAGAGAGGGGGGGGGCTTAATAGCATTAGCAGCTAGCATTAGCATTTCTTTTTTTCTCCTTTTATTGGTGAAAAAAACAGGGACAAACAACTGAGGGGCGGGGCTAGCATTAGCACTGATCATCAGGATTAGCATCTTGTCTATATTAATGACAGTGATTACACTGCTAATGGCGGCTATGTATGTATTGTCCTGCTTTCCTCCCAGTGCATGCTGGGATACATTCCAGTACTTCAAACTTTTTTGTTTGAAGTTTGAATGTTTGATGTGATGAAAAAAAGTTTGTTACATTTCATCCAGAATCACAAAGTTACAGAGAATCTTTAAATTGTTCATATGGACATTAACCTTTATAATAACAAGCTACATTTTTAATTACAGATAATTTCTGTCATTTTACATAAATTTGTGTGTAATTTAAGAAAGCAGAAAAAATACTGTATAAATAATACATTAATTTGTCTTTACAGAAATGGGAAATAAATGTAATTCATTATTATTGGCATGATGCTTAAAAGAGAAGTTTGGCTGTTAATTCACATCATTTCTGTCATTTTACAGACTTTTGTTCACAATTTAAATAAACAGGAAATTACTGTTAAAAAAACTCAGTTATTTAATGTAAAATTAGGATTTTTTTTTACAGTGTGTATAACTTTCCTCCCAGATGAACATAGAGGCCAAATTTATAACTAGTCTGGCGCCTGTTACACCAACTAACAACATGAGCGTCTGCTGGTTTGCATGAACAGGGTGTCCTGGGACGGAGTCACATTCCCGGCCTGAATTCTTGTTTCAGTCGCTCCTGCCTCAGAGGAGAAACTAAACCTCAGCCCATAAAACTGACGGCAGTTTCCTCCTTTAGTCTATTGCCTTTGTTCTTCGTCCTTCTTTTCCCTCTCTATAAATCTTCTGACTCAGTTCACTTCTGATAAATAGATCTTCTAGACTGAATAAACATAATCATTAAAAATAGTTTAACAGTGCCTGAGATCAAATATTGAACCAGGAGTCTAAACAAATCAAATGTCATAAGTGTTTACCGTCCATCTGTCAGATATTGAACATTGAACTCATCACTGGACCAATACATGTTCTATCTTTGTGAGAGAATGAAAAATCCTGACAGAGACGTCATCATTAAAACTGTTTAAATGCAAAAACACGTCCCAGTTCAAGAGTTCAGCAGCTCATTTGATTTTATTGACCATCAGAGCAACAAAAGTGCTGAGTTGTAAAACAGTGGAAGGATTTAACCCTGGGTTAGAGTTTGTTAAAGTTTCAGTAACATGAGCTGATGCTTCTCTGTGAATGAGGATTTGTTATCACACTGCAGCTTGTATATTCTCACTCTCTTGCTGCTTAGGAAAAACTAATCAACGACAATATTCAGCTGATTTGAGCAGGATCCTGTTTTACGTGTGTTCAAGGTGTGTTTTACCCAGGCGGGGGGGGTGGGGATCTGACCAAATATTTACATGCAGAGCTAACCCCGTTCTGAGGTGAAAACTTCCAACAGCATTTCTGTAAAAGTTGTTCTGCTGTAGCTACTCTGTAATGTAAGTGTGTCTGTGTGTGGGGTTTTGGGTTTGGTCATGTGATTTCCAAGAAGTGGTGTGCTATAATTTCTCCAGCAGCAGAGAAAAGCAATGAGGCCATGAACTTCCTTATCAGAGAGTTCAGACGTCAGCTCTTTGCTAATAGCTCTATAAAACCTATGGAGGCTGCTCAGTTACAGTTCGTTGATCTGGATTCAAACAGCGACTGCTCAGATTCACTTTGACCTGCAAACACAATCCAGCCTCACAGGTTAGTACAGGAAACCGAAGACGGCACGTCTGCGAGTGTTTTCTTGTCAACGTGGAATAAGTCATTTGTGGGATTACTCAGACATTTGACCGTCCACCAGGGTTTCTGCCTCTGAAGTTAGAACGCTGTTTTATGTGGACGTGCACTGCAACACACAAGGCTTGTTTGAATGCACTGCTGTGAGTGAAGGATCATATGTTCATTTTACTGTTGAATACCATTGATTGAGTGGCAGTGATGATGACATGAAACTGAGTCCCAAAGCCAGAGATAATGCACTGTTAAAGGTTATGACTGTATAACTGCATGTAGAGTGTAGTGACAGTTTGAATCCCAGCTGTCACACTGTGTGTTTACTGTTGTTTTCACATCAATGTCTCATATTGTTCTGATAATATTATTAATAGTAAATGTTGGAATAGAAAGTCAACACAGATCAATCAGTTAATGGGGCTTTTAGGCTTTTCCACCTTCAGGAGACACTTAAGTCTCTGCTTGAGTTCTTGGTTTCTGCTTCTGGTGTTTGGAAAAAACAGTTAACATCACAACTCTTAATGAAATGTTAAGAATGAATAGTCGGGTCTCGATCAGGGCATTCTTCTGGATGCAGTAGTAGATCGCTGCAATCAGCTGATCATGTGTGTAGGCAATGCTGGTGGAGTTGCAGGCGTAGTTTCCAGCCATTAGAAGTGAGTGAGGGCAAAGGAGAGCAATAAATCCATGGCATTGAAAAAGCATCTTGATGTTGGGTGATCTTCAGTATCTTAAAACATTGTATTTGTACACGAAAAAGTTCCAGATAGAACCATAAAAATGACAGACACATGTCGTTGCTACAAGAGGCTGCCACTAACACGGCACCATCTATTAGGTCTTTGTGACATTTAGTGTCAAGGTGTTGTTTTGACACCATAGAACCAGGTTTTCCCTTTCCCACCAATGGCTGACGCCTCGTTGTTAGTGATGAAGAACTTGTCTGTGGTGTTATCATCAAATTTGAGAATGGTGATATTTTCCTGTGAGGCCAGACAGTCATGGGTGAACAGCGTTTACAGCATGGGACTGAGTATACAACCTTCAGGGATGGCAGTGTTTATACCTAATGTCTTGGAAGTAATATTTCCAATCCTGGGGGGGGGGGGGAAGAAAATATGCTCAGCAACAAACATAAATGAATCATACTTACCTGACATAGGTTTGAAAACAGCTTCAGGTTTAACTGTGAGTTGGTAGAGTCCATTTATTGTGTAATATTCTTTCATTGCTGATGAATGAATCTGTTGTTAATGTTTTATTGGTTGTTTTTAATCTGATGCAGAGACCAAACCTCAGACACCATCACACCTGATTCACCTTCACTGTGTGGAGCTCTGCACCAGGAATCACCATGGCAACGTGAGTAACAACAGGCAGCAACAATACACTGTGACTGAAAGAGACAGTGACGCTACAAGCTCCTCAGATAGAATAAATAGCCCTTTAGTCCAAATTAACAATTTCAGAATTTGTCATATTTCATTATTTAAAGCTATGGTTCAATTAAAAATGGCAAAGTACAGTGGTCCTGAGAACTCACGACACCACAACCTCACAAACACATTCAAGTTGACAAAACACAAATAATTTAAGAAAATGTCTTCATCAATTTGACAACACATGCGTTGCAAATACACCTTGGATATAATATGTTGTCCGTGCTACGTGCAGCAAGTATGTACTTGCTTGTGTTGTGTCTATTTGTTTTGTGTGTTAATCTTTCTCAGGCACCAAGTCAATATGTAAAGTTAAAATGTGGATTGAATTTTATTCTACTTCCTCCACAGGATCAGTAACATCTCAACAAAATACAAGGACATCATCTCCAAAAGTTCTCAGATCAGTTCAGGATCTCCTGCTCGATACCAGCTGAGACCAAAGACAGAGAGGATCGGTACTCTGACCAGAAAGACTGTTGGTGAGAAAAATCCTAACAAGATAAATAAAACCATCTTACTTGTTGGTGAAAGAGGAACAGGGAAATCTACTCTGATCAACACTCTGGTCAACTACGCCATGGGAGTAGAGTTTGATGACGACATCTGGTTTGAGATCGTAGAGGAGAAGAGAAGTCAGACAGAAAGTCAGACATCTGATGTGATCGTGTACGAGATCTTTGACTTTAAAGAAAACACTCTGCCCTACTCTCTGACCATCATTGATACTCCTGGATATGGAGACACCAGAGGGATCGAACATGATCTTTTTCTTAGTCAAAGATTATTGGACCTGTTCAGCTCGGAAGAAGGAGTTCATGAAATGAATGTAGTGGGTCTGGTGCTGAAGGCGACAGAGAACCGACTGAGTGATCGACTGAGGTACGTCTTTGATTCCGTCGTTTCTCTGTTTGGAAAAGACATGGAGAACAACATCGTCGCTCTCATCACTCACTCAGATGGAATAAAACCCGAAAACGTTCTACAAGCTGTTGGGGCTGTAAAAATTAAATGTTCCAAAAATGAGGACAATGAGCCGGTTCACTTCCTGTTTGATAACCAACAGAGCACACAGAGAACAGAGGAAACACAGCTTGGTTTAGAGAATGGTTGGAAAGTAACCATGGGAGGACTGGGTCAATTCACAGACTTCCTGAAGACATCCAGACCTCAAAAGTTGGTTACAACAGTTGAAGTGTTGCATGAACGCATCAGACTGACGGCCTGCATCCAGAACCTGCAGGAGAGAATTGGTTTGATTGAACTGAAACAGACTGAGATCAAACAGACAAAAGAAGCTCTGGAGAAACATGAACATAAGATGAAGAAGAATAAAGACTTCACTGTAGAAGTGGATGAGGTCTACAAAGGTAAAGAAACTATCAGTGGTGGGATGTGGTGGTTGTTTTTTTATGAAGGAGCTGTGACCTGTAAAGTCTGTGAAGAGAACTGTCACTATCCAGGATGCAGAATGGCCTGGAGTCCTGGACTCTGTGAGGTGATGAAAGGAGGCCGCTGCACTGTTTGTACTAAGAAGTGTCCTGCATCAGATCATGTGAAAGAAAATTGGATCTATGACAACAAGACAAGAAAAGTTCAGAGGACCCTGCAAGACATGAAAGACAAGTACGAAGAGAATAAAGCAGAAAGTGAGAAGAAGTCGAGCCTCCTGGAAAATCTAGAAAAGGAAATGAAAGAGCTGACAGACAACAAAGATCAGTTCCTTGAAGAGTCCTACCAACATGTCGTCAGGCTGGAGCAGATCGCCCTGAATGTGGATTCACTGTCCACCCATGTCCACTTGGACTTCCTGACTGAGAAGACGAAGGAGAGAGGAGACACAGAGAAGGTCCAGAAGCTGGAGGAGATGAGAAATCGAGTGGATGAAGCAACCAGAGCGGGACTGCAGTATATGTTTGGTAAAATAACAGCAGCTGGGAAAGCAGTCAAAGAAATGATAAGTAAGTGAAGGACTTCACTGTGACCAGTCAGACGGACAACAAGGTCATTAGATGATAATTCTGTCAGCTGTGATGTCAGTGTAATAACTACAGTAGGTGTATAAATGTGATCAGCTTCCAAATGTATAATATGTGATTGAAAGGATTCTGAATGTTTCTGTATGTGGTTGTGATTTTTTTGTTCAATCATCAATGATCTTGTAACTCTACAGTAAAATCTTGAAAGATTAACATCACTGGTGACTCATTTCTCCACTGAGACAGCTGACGTATCACCCTGTTACCTAGTGAGCCTCTGGACAAACAGACAAATCTCCTGTAATATCACACTGACACTATTACACACCTGCTGTGCTCATGATCATTTATTATTTTTAAGAGCATGGAATCGGAAATAACTGAAGCTTTTCTTATTTACTGTACAGTAAAGGTTAGAGATAATTTGACTTTGTGGTAGTATTTAGTTTAACAGACGATGGGTCCTATCTAACACCAGGTGCAAAGAGGTGCCGAGCACAACGCAAGTATCTTTGCTAGTTTCAGACCGACACAGTTGTCTTTTTCCCGTCCGGCGCCCATGTTGTTTAAATAGCAAATGCACCTGCGCCCCTCTGAGTGCCGGCGTGTTGGTCTTAAAATAAAGTGTCGTCAGGCGCATTGTTGTTGCAATGCTACCTTGAGGCAGTGGAAAATGACTGCATGTTTAACCAGCAAAAACCTGGACTGAACTCAATGTATTTCACTTGTTCTTTTAAGGGGGCATCCTGATGTAATTGTACCGCTTTAAGCATTGTGTGGCCGTTCCAGACTGCTACGCCATACGGCAGTGTCATTAGACTGTTCTTTGATTGAATCACGTGAAAATGACACCAGGCCAGGTATAGTTTTTCATGGAGGGAGGGGGGATGGAGACAGCGTAGGACCCATCTTCAAGCCAGTTATTATGAAAGGGCAGGAAGTGGAGCAGGTCACTCCCTTAAAATATCTGAGAACAGTCGTTGACAATAAACTCACCTCTCAGACTAATGAGGGCCACATTTATAAAAAAGAAAAGCAAGGCAGTGAAACAGGAGCTTCAACACCAGCAAACACACCTGAACATGGTGGACAGGTCACTCAGCTCCAACATCGTGTCCTGGTGTGGGAACCTCTTTGTCAGGTATAAGAACAAGCTGAACTATGGGGTCGACCAGGCCAGCAGAGATCTCCAAAAACAAGAAACTCTAAGACTTGTGCAACCCAGGTCTATGACCCCCCACCCCCACCCCCACCCCCACCCACAGCCCCTTCGTTGACCATTACAGTTATTGCCATCTGGTAGGAGACTCAAGGTCCCACTTGCCAGGAAAATCATTTGGATCCTCTGCTGAAGCCGTACTGAACAGAGACAAAATAACCACCAATGAGCACTACTGCTGAAAGATGCTTCTATATTATGCTTCTGTGTTCTGTGTTGCCAGATTGAGGGGGACACATTTCCATTTTATGCAAATGTAATGGACAATAAAGTTTTAACTTTTCTTACACTAGATTTATACAGAGTCTTGTTCAGATGAAGACATTCATCGTTAGAAAATTGTTTGCATTTCAGTTCACATCACTTTTAAAAATAAATTGATTATACATTTAAGTAAAATCCATGTGCAGTCATCAAATCAATGTGCATTCAATGAAGAATCAAACAAAAGCAAAGACCAAACAGTTTATTTACAACAGACATGTCGGTTGTAGCTTTATAACAATTATCAAACACTGGTAACCACAAGGATTTAAAGTCTCAAAATGCCATAATCAATCCTTGGCATGATTTTTGAAAACTGAAGAGTTTGGGGGAGGCTGCGAGCACACAGAGCGCCTTCCCCTGTTTTCTGTTTCCTACAATACTGTCCTCGGATTACTGATTCACTTTCACTGTTGTCAGTCCTGAAATCCAGACCTGGGAGTGTTTCTGTCCTTTCTGACCTATGAAGAAATGTGTTCTGCCGTTTGAGTTTATGTGAGTGTGAAGTGTGGGGCTGGGAAACATATCAACATATATCATATATGCTTTATCCATGTTATGATAATGTTTTTATATATCATACATCATAATACAATTTGATGTCTTTATTGTCGTATTAGATGATCAGATGCAATTATTCAAAATTTTTTGAAAAAATTACACGTAAATTAAAAATTTGTTAATATATATAGAAAATAACAGCAAGTTATTTAGCACAGAGGCTAACTAGCTAGCTTAGATACTCTAATATCCCATTATTTAAACATTTCATATTTTTAAAGTACAGTAACCCACTCATAACTCTTCTCATTAACATTTCCATAAATCACAGTGCACATATGTTCATATGGTGTACCTGAAGGACATTAATACACAATATTTGGACAATGCGCTGTGCTCGCCTCACCTCTGGCACATCTCTCATGAACTGGCGATGTCTCAAAACTGCCACTGGCCTTTACTGCCTCCATCTATCAACTTAGGTAATTTTCTTGTTGTTGGCTTATTTCCAAAGGACTCTTGAGTGATCTTTCTGCCATGTCATCTAAAGCATACTTTGGCTGTTGAATCAGCTGCTTGTGAGCAACTTGTAGGAGAATTGGCATTGTAGTCAGACCAACTCTTCTTTTTCATCTCCACTGAGCTCAAGTGTCCGTCGTTTTATGCTCAACTTTTTGACCATTTTGAGTGAACCATCAAGTCAAGTCTATTTTTATTTGTATAGTGCCAATTCACAACATACTTAATCTCAAGGCATTTTCCAAATAGAGCAGGTCTAGACCTTCTCTTTATAATATTTACAAAGACCCAATAATTCCCACCAAGAGCAGCACTAGGCGACAGTGGCAAGGACAGACTTCCTTTTAAGAGGCAGAAACCTCGAGCAGAACCATCCAGGTAGGCGTACTCATTGTGTGTGTTGCCATATTTGTCAGTGACAACGCACTTATGCACTCATATTACTAAGGGTGAGTACGGAAGTATTCAAATTGAGAGACAGAGGAACATTTCAGTTTAGCAATTTAGCATGCTAACGTTTACTAACGAGAAGTAAACACAGCATCCAGTCAAGCTGGTGGGAATGTCATTAGTTCTGCAGGTATCTGGTCACAAACCACAGAAAGACAGAATCATCATCAAATGGTCGTGTTGTCTGTCTGACTCTTCATGGTGATGTCCTTCACCTACATCACTACTTCTATAACCGTACCACAATCCTCCTCTGACTCTTCATCCACTCAAATTTTCATCTCCTCCAGTCTCTGGAGCTTCTCTGTGTCTCCTCTCTCCTTCATCTTTTGAATCAGGAAGTCCAAGTGACCATGAGAGGACAGTGAATCGACCCTGAGGGCGATCTGACCCAGACTGACGACATGTTGGTAGGACTCTTCAAGGTACTGATCTTTGTTGGCCGTCAGCTCTTCCATTTCCTTTTCTAGATTTTCCAGGAGGCTCGACTTCTTCTCACTTTCTGCTTTATTCTCTTCGTACTTGTCTTTCATGCCTTGTAGAGTCCTCTGAACTTTTCTTGTCTTGGTCACAAACCTCCACTTTTCTTTCACATGATCTGATACAGGACACTTCTTGGTACAAACAATACAGCTGCCTCCTTTCATCACCTCACAGTGTCCAGGACTCCAGGCCATTGTGCATCCTGGATAGTGACAGTTCTCTTTACAGACTTCACAGGTCACAGCTCCTTCATAAAAAAACAACCACATCCCACCTTTGATAGGTTCTTTCTCTTTGTAGACCTCATCCACTTCTGCAGTGAACTTCTCATTCTTCTTCATCTTATGTTCATGTTTCTTCAGAGCTTCCTGAGTCTGTTTGATTTCTGTCTGTTTCAGTTCAATCAACTCAATTCTCTGTTCCAGGTTTTGGATGCAGGCCGTCAGTCTGATGCGTGAATTCAACACTTCAACTGTTGTCATCAGCTTCTGAGGTCTGGATGTCTGCAGGAAGTCTTTGAACTGACTAATTCCTCTCATTGTTACTTTATCAGCTTGTTGCAGGTATTCTCTGCCCTGTGTTCGGTCTTTATTCTGGCAGTTATTCAACAGGAAGTGAACCGGCTGTTTCCTCTCATCTCTGGCACATTTAATTTTTGCATCTTCAAGAGCTTCAAGAACAGCTTTAGGTGGCATTCCAGTTGAGTGAGTGATGATAGCGACGATGTTCTTCTCCAAGTTCTTTCCAAACAGAGACATCACTGAATTGAAGATGTACCTCAGATGGTCTGTCACTCGATTCTCTGTCGCCTTCATCACCAGACCCACTACATTAATTTCATGAACTCCATTTTCTGAACTGAACAAGTCCAGTAATCTTTGACTGATGTCAACCTTTTCAGTCCCTCTGGTGTCTCCATATCCAGGAGTATCAATGATGGTCAGAGAGTAGGGCAGAGTTTTATCTTCAAATCCAAAGATCTCGTACACGATCACATCTGATGTCTGACTATCACACTGACTTCTCTTCTCCTCCTCTTCGATCTCAAACCAGATGTCGTCATCAAACTCTACTCCCATGGCGTAGTTGACCAGAGTGTTGATCAGAGTAGATTTCCCTGTTCCTGTTTCTCCCACAAGTAAGATGGTTTTATTTACCTTGTTCAAATTTCTTTCACCAATAGTCCTTCTGGTCAGAGTACCGATCCTCTCTTTCTTTGGTCTCAGCTGGTATAGAGCAGGAGATCCTGAATGGATCAGAGAACTTTTGGAGATGATGTCCTTGTATTTTTCCGAGACATTACTGATCCTGTGGAGAAAGTAGAATAAAGCTCAATCCACATTTCAGCTTTACATACAGACTTTTACCTTTGTCTTTGAACATCCGGTCCACAAAATGATTCATGATTTGGATTAAAGAGCTGTGTTCCAAAATGCTGCAGCTATCTGATGTGCTGAGGTCATTTGTGTTTAGATCAAACTCCACTACAGAATAGAAATCCAGGGAGGAGAGTTTTACAGTTTTGTTGCCACCTTTATTTCAGTCAAGGATTTACCTCTTCCTCCACCACTGGGTTGGTGTTGCTATGTTTCCTTGAACTACATTTCCCAGTAGAGTTTGCATAGTACAGCTATTTCTAAAATCAGACAGAAGAGAGACAGAAACAGCTTCATGATGACTGTGATGAAGAGTGTAACTGCACTGCAGACTACAGTCTCTGACAGCCAGGTGAAAGGTGAGCTCGTACTGATTCTATCACTGGATCTGAAGCAGCTTCAGTGTGTTCATGTTTCTGAGGAGCTTGTAGCGTCACTGTCTCTTTCAGTCACAGTGTATTGTTGCTGCCTGTTGTTACTCACGTTGCCATGGTGATTCCTGGTGCAGAGCTCCACACAGTGAAGGTGAATCAGGTGTGATGGTGTCTGAGGTTTGGTCTCTGCATCAGATTAAAAACAACCAATAAAACATTAACAACAGATTCATTCATCAGCAATGAAAGAATATTACACAATAAATGGACTCTACCAACTCACAGTTAAACCTGAAGCTGTTTTCAAACCTGTAGTTGGTCTGATCTCGTCTGAAGTCATTAACAGTTAAAGGGATAGTCCCATAGCTCCCAGTTAGGAGAGTGCGCTCTGTAGGTGCTTGTGCTTAAGAAGACAGTCGTTCAGCGATTTAATATTGTAGTGTCAGAGGAAAGTGCTGTTTTCACAGGAAGATGAGGTGTGTTCTGGTGGCCCCGCCCACAGCAACACATCACTCTGCCACTTTGACGGTGCTGCCAGTCGGCTCTCTCCTAACTGGGACCACGCTGAACAGAATCTACTGTAGGTTAGGTAACAACCCAACCTCACACAACCCCACGTCAAAAAACCCAAACTATTCAGAAACAAACAGCAGAAAAAATGCAAACCAGAGCAAAGGTGGAAGGAAGGTGAGAACTTTCTTTCCTCTCATTGGTCAGATGCATCACAGGCGTGAGCGTAAACTGGAGGAAGCTTCTGAAGAAGCTGCCCAAATATCAAGAAGGTGACATACTTCACCCTCAGTCCAGGTCAGACCTCAATTTATTCTCCTGCTAGCTGCTCTGACTGGCACTTACTCAAAAGTTGATTAAGTGTCTGAGAGACTGAAAATAAAAGCTGTAGCCTGCTCTATATGACACACCATAGGGGTTAGAAGGGGCTTAAGGCCCAGGCTAATCAACCACCACCGCCCAGACTCCTGCTTGCAAACTAAATGCAGAGTGAGGCTACTGACACAATGTAAACCAGGGTCTGTTGTTCTTTCTTATCTAGAGTCTTGGCTGTTGTCCAATGCTCACACATGTTGACACATCCAGTCTACAGTGGTGACCTGCTGCCTCCTGCTGCCTCCACTTGTTGTATGTGGATTCACAGACTGTGTCCACTCGTTGCTCACCACATGAGACAATGTTGATGGTTAAGTGCCGACCCTTTTGAATTCAACACGTTTCCCTTGGCTACAGCTCTTGATACATCCTATTGCTCTCCTTTTCCCTCGCTCACGTCCAATGACTGGAAGCTACACCTGCAACTCCACAGACACATGCAATCAGCCAATCAGCCAATCAGCCAATCAGCCAATCAACCAATCGCCCTGCAGCAATCTACTACTGCAGCCAGAAGATTGCCCTCAATTCTGGCAGAGCTAAGGAGGAGACAGCAGGGATCTTAAACTGAGAATGAATAAAAGGAGATTGAAACGCTGCATCCCTGCACCTCATTACAGGGACCATGGTCCTTTAATTTGGCTCCAGTTCTTCAATGTATGCAACAAAATGTTCCACATGTTCTGCCAGTCTGTTCCTGGAGAGGAAGCATCACAACAAAGGATACCAACAGACTGAATAAACGTACAGAAGGGTCTTTGATTGGATCCAAGAAGGTCACAATGGAGAAGGTGGTTGTGGACAACCCTAACCCTAAACTGCTGGTGATGCTGGGCAGCACCTCCCAACCCCCCACACAACATGTAAGACGAGTTTAAGAACACCATCCTCAACAGATGGAGCGATTCCTGCCGGGTGATATCAGACTCTACGGCTCAGGCCAGTTGACAGACCTGGTGTTTGTAACCACACTATCAGTCAATATTTTTATATATTTGATTTATTTTTTCGTACCCTTCGGCCCTACTTTGCAGCAGTCACAGGTTTTTATCGCCTCCAGCTCTGGTCAGCATTGATGTAAACGTGACACCCAGGTGAGTACGCTAATTTTCCCCTTTTCTGAGCTGATGTCTTTCAGAGCACAAACGCTGTTAGCACACCTGTTATCTGCCCAGCACGGTGCTGTATTTTTTATACAGTCTATGGGCTACACACAGCACTGCTATGCTAATGATGCTAGCCATGCTAACTAGCTGCTAGTTACACCCAGTCTACAGAGGTTCTAGTCACCATGCAGGCCACAGAGAGTACCAACCCTGCGATCCATTTCACCAGCCTGCACAGTGGTGAAGCAGCTAGCAGCTCACGCTGATGTACTTCAACAAAACCCTGATCGAGACCCGACTATTCATTCTTAACATTTCATTAAGAGTTGTGATGTTAACTGTTTTTTCCAAACACCAGAAGCAGAAACCAAGAACTCAAGCAGAGACTTAAGTGTCTCCTGAAGGTGGAAAAGCCTAAAAGCCCCATTAACTGATTGATCTGTGTTGACTTTCTATTCCAACATTTACTATTAATAATATTATCAGAACAATATGAGACATTGATGTGAAAACAACAGTAAACACACAGTGTGACAGCTGGGATTCAAACTGTCACTACACTCTACATGCAGTTATACAGTCATAACCTTTAACAGTGCATTATCTCTGGCTTTGGGACTCAGTTTCATGTCATCATCACTGCCACTCAATCAATGGTATTCAACAGTAAAATGAACATATGATCCTTCACTCACAGCAGTGCATTCAAACAAGCCTTGTGTGTTGCAGTGCACGTCCACATAAAACAGCGTTCTAACTTCAGAGGCAGAAACCCTGGTGGACGGTCAAATGTCTGAGTAATCCCACAAATGACTTATTCCACGTTGACAAGAAAACACTCGCAGACGTGCCGTCTTCGGTTTCCTGTACTAACCTGTGAGGCTGGATTGTGTTTGCAGGTCAAAGTGAATCTGAGCAGTCGCTGTTTGAATCCAGATCAACGAACTGTAACTGAGCAGCCTCCATAGGTTTTATAGAGCTATTAGCAAAGAGCTGACGTCTGAACTCTCTGATAAGGAAGTTCATGGCCTCATTGCTTTTCTCTGCTGCTGGAGAAATTATAGCACACCACTTCTTGGAAATCACATGACCAAACCCAAAACCCCACACACAGACACACTTACATTACAGAGTAGCTACAGCAGAACAACTTTTACAGAAATGCTGTTGGAAGTTTTCACCTCAGAACGGGGTTAGCTCTGCATGTAAATATTTGGTCAGATCCCCACCCCCCCCGCCTGGGTAAAACACACCTTGAACACACGTAAAACAGGATCCTGCTCAAATCAGCTGAATATTGTCGTTGATTAGTTTTTCCTAAGCAGCAAGAGAGTGAGAATATACAAGCTGCAGTGTGATAACAAATCCTCATTCACAGAGAAGCATCAGCTCATGTTACTGAAACTTTAACAAACTCTAACCCAGGGTTAAATCCTTCCACTGTTTTACAACTCAGCACTTTTGTTGCTCTGATGGTCAATAAAATCAAATGAGCTGCTGAACTCTTGAACTGGGACGTGTTTTTGCATTTAAACAGTTTTAATGATGACGTCTCTGTCAGGATTTTTCATTCTCTCACAAAGATAGAACATGTATTGGTCCAGTGATGAGTTCAATGTTCAATATCTGACAGATGGACGGTAAACACTTATGACATTTGATTTGTTTAGACTCCTGGTTCAATATTTGATCTCAGGCACTGTTAAACTATTTTTAATGATTATGTTTATTCAGTCTAGAAGATCTATTTATCAGAAGTGAACTGAGTCAGAAGATTTATAGAGAGGGAAAAGAAGGACGAAGAACAAAGGCAATAGACTAAAGGAGGAAACTGCCGTCAGTTTTATGGGCTGAGGTTTAGTTTCTCCTCTGAGGCAGGAGCGACTGAAACAAGAATTCAGGCTGGGAATGTGACTCCGTCCCAGGACACCCTGTTCATGCAAACCAGCAGACGCTCATGTTGTAGGCTAACCCTGCTTGTTGGTGCTATGGCTGTGGGTGAACCCTCAAAAATTCATAGGAAACAAACAACCTTAACACCTGGAACACAACACAATAAGACGACCCTTCTCAAAGAGAATGAGATACAGAGTTATGAGATACAGGAGCTGCACTTTGCGACGCAACGTAACGGCTGGATCTGACACAAAGCGAAAACCTCCATATACCAGACCATCTCATTTCAGTTCAGTCCATTCGGTCCGTTCAGTCACAATAGCAACGAAGGGCCACACCTTCGTATACCGGGTCCTCTGAAGGATGCGGCCCCTGAATTGTGACACAGCAAGTGTTTATCACACCTTCTTCATGATGCTCTGATTAAACATCAGCTCTAATGGTGGAGTGTGTTTCTCTGTTCAATCACAACAAAGTCAAAGTGTTTCAGGAACAAAGACAAACAGACATTTATTGAATAAAGTTCAGCAGAAGCTTCAACAGACTGAAGAAGCAGCTGATGATCCAGTGAAGACTCTGATCAAACTCTTTTCATCAAGCAGATTTTATTCAGGATTCACAGAAAACTGCATCAATCAGGACGTGATTTCATGTGGAACAACACAATATAGTGAATTCACTCTGCTCATTGCACGAATCTAATTCAAGTCATTAAAGCTGCCTTCAGAGTGACTTCTGGATCTGCGCCATCTGCTTGAACTCAGTCATTCAGCCTTATCCTACTGCACATAAGACAGTGTCAGTCCAGACTGTTCTGGTCTGTGGTTCCTGACGGTGGAACAAGTTACCAGAGTCTATCAGAGCAGAGGGTCCATCTGTATCTTCAAGAATCTGTTGACAACTCCTCTCTTCAGAGAGCACCTCCTCTCCTAACACCTCCACATGTCTGACTAGCTCTAACTATAAACTTTACCTGATCTCCTTCACTTACTGAATAACTGTAGTGCTTTCTACTTACACCAAGTTCTCCTTCTGCACTGGGGCTTTAGTGATGTAAGTCTTGTAGAGGTGACTCTGACTTTGGATGAAGTAATTATTGGAGAAACGTAGCTAGGAAACCAAGTTTCTCATATCCAGTTGAAGAAATCAGATTACTGCAGAAAGTCGACTGTAACCAGATTACTGAAGTCCATGTTAAGTCCATGTGAACACAATGATGCAACAGTTACAGTCTAACATTTTGATGTTTAAAGAGTGACGACAAACGACACGTCAGAATGATGTTTTCACCTAATTCATCATTTCTTTACCTGCCTTCCCAGCTGCTGCTTGTTTACTTAACATATACCTCAGTCCTGCCCTGGTTCTTTCATCCACTCGACTTCTCATCTCCTCCAGTTTCTGTTTCTTCTCTGTGTCTCCTCTCTCCTTCATCTTCTCAGTCAGGAAGTCCAGGTGGACCTGAGTGGTCAGTGAATCCACATTCAGGGCGATCTGCTCCAGCCTGACGACATGTTGGTAGGATTCTTCGAGCAAACTGGTCTTCTCTGCCGTCAGCTCTCTCATTTCCTTTTCTAGATTTTCCAGGAGACTCGACTTCTTCTCACCTTCTGCTTTATTCTCTTCATACTCGTCTTTCATGCCTTGTAGAGTCTTCTCAACTTTTCTTGTCTTGTTGACATAGATCTCCTTTTCTTTCACATGATCTGATGCAGGACATTTACAAGCACTGCATTTCCCGTTTTTCATAATGTCACAGCCTTCAGGACCTCGAGCCATTGTGCATGGATAGTGACAGTTCTCTTCACAGACATTACAGGTCACAGCTCCTTTATTAAAAAACAACCACCACATCCCACCACTGATAGTTTCTTTCTCTTTGTAGACCTCATCCACTTCTACAGTGAACTCTTTATTCTTCTTCATCTCGTGTTCATGTTTCTTCAGAGCTTCTCTTGTCTGTTTGATCTCAGTCTGTTTATGTTCGATCAACTTGATTCTCTCCTGCAGCTTCTGGATGCATTCTGTCATTCTGATGCGCTCATTCAACACATGCACAGTTTTCTCCAGTTTTTGAGGTCCACATTTTTCCAGGAAGTTCACGAACTGACCCGTTTGTCCCTTTGTAATTTCCCATGCATTCCTTAAAGCTGCCTTATTCCCCTTAGTTCTCTGTGGGGTCTGGCAGTTATCAAACAGGAAGTGAACAGGATGATTCTTCTCATTTTTGGCACATTTAATGTCAGCAGAATCAAGAGCCTTGAGAGCATTTTCAGGTGCAACTCCATCTGAGTGAGTGATGAGAGTGACGATGTTGTTCTCCAGGTTTTTTCCAAACAGAGAAACGACCGAATCAAAGACGTACATCAGTCGGCCACTCAGACGGTTCTCTGACGCCTTCAGCACCAGACCCACTACATTCATTTCATGAACTCCTTCTTCTGAGCGGAACAGGTCCAATAATCTGTGACTGACGATGTCATCATGTTCGATCCCTCTGGTGTCTCCATATCCAGGAGTATCAATGATGGTCAGAGAGTAGGGCAGAGTGTTTTCTTTAAAGTCAAAGATCTCGTACACGATCACATCAGATGTCTGACTATCACACTGACTTCTCTTCTCCTCCTCTACGATCTCAGACCAGATGTCGTCATCAAACTCTACTCCCATGGCGTAGTTGACCAGAGTGTTGATCAGAGCAGATTTCCCTGTTCCTCTTTCACCAACAAGTAAGATGGTTTTGTTTATCTTGTTCAGATTTTGTTCACCAACAGTCTTTCTGGTCAGAGTACCGATCTCTTCTGTCTTTGTTCTCAGCTGGTATCGAGCAGGAGATCCTGAACTGATCTGAGAACTTTTGGAGATGATGTCATTATATTTTTCTGAGGTGATACTGAAGCTGTAGAAAAAGCAAAGAGTCAGTCAACACCTCCAGCAGCTCATTTACTTTTCTCTTTACTACATCACTGACAGGTGAAATCTAAACTTTTCCATCACTCAGACAGATTATACACAACATGTCTGTATGGAGTAGTGTGTGTGTGTGTGTGTGTGTGTGTGTGTGTGTGTGTGTGTGTGTGTGTGTGTGTGTGTGTGTGTAGTGGTTATGTATTGCATATCTGTGTCCTCAGATAATAAGGTGGTTTTGCAGTCATCTAACCACTGTGTACAGAGGAGGGTGGTGTGGGCGGGGCCTAAAGATATGGATTGCTGTTTAGTTGGATTTGCTGAACTCAGTCAGAAACCTGGCTCTGTAAATGGGATGTAAACAAAGATAACCTTTTAATGTGGTGGTTACAGAATGGCTCTTAGTCTGGCCTCTGCCTTGGAACCAATGTGCCATGGGAGACCCTACCAGGGGCAAATCCCCCCGGCAGCACCGCTCCCAGGAATCTGAGACAGTCAAACCCCCGCACAATGTTAATGTGGCGATTCATGGAGGGAGTTAGAGTAACCTTAGTGTAAACATTGGAGCTAATGGTGCAGGTGTGTTAACTCATCAGTCCAGGAAGAGTCTCATCCTTCTCTGCTTGTATTTATACAAACCTTTTCTGGAGCCTTGTTGGGTGCAATCTCTGCTGCACAAGCTTTGGTTCTGGCATCACATCTGGGTAGAACCCTGGATATAAATAGAACAAAGAGTTAAGCTTTCTGCCAAAGAGATGCTTTAATAAATAAATAAAAGCCTAATTTAATATTTAATTAAAACAATATGAAAACTTTGAGTGTTCCATTTGTTTTTATTGGCTCTCTTGCATGTCATACACTTTTGAAATGACTGGATCTTCAAATGCATCCAGATTACACCAACTGTGAATATGTCCTCACCTTGTGCTCCTGTGTTGCTGCTTGACAGTTTCTCCGCCAGATCATTCCTGTGGATCTTCCTTAATGCGTCCTTCACCACCTTCACAGACTGTTGGTGGTGTTTCCCCACTATCCTATCGACCGTCTCACACCTGTTTGCTTCTTCCAGGTGACTCTTTGGGATTGAGACGCCGTCCAGGATGTCTGGCTGCTGCTGCAGATGCCACCTGAAGTCATGAAACTCATCTCTCGACAACTCTTCCAGAACATCTAAAATCTCCTCTTTAACACTCATTGTCGTCACCTGTTGAAGTTGAGAAGAAACCTTTTACTCAGATTTGAGACAGAATCACTTTTTAATTATTGTCTTCAGTTTAACAATGAAATTAATTCAGAACTTTCTTCATGGCTTTAGAAATGTGTTGTGGAGCAACAGAGTCATTTCTGTATCGTGTTGCTGTGTTCTACTTTCTGAGCTGCTTTGAAGCGTTATGATGATTTTATGATGATATTATTATTAACCTCTTCCACGCTGCAGTGAACCGCCTCCTTTCTGCCAACACTGACTGCACGTTAGTTAACCCGACTGTCTGACACAGATAATGTCACCGTGAGGTAATCACATCCACTATCAAAGTCATGTTTATTGTCACCTCAAATATATTGGCAGGTGAAGCGTTTAACCAAGTTTAGACCAGTAAAAAGTCTGAGTCAACGTCAATACAAGAAAGTAAAGTTAACTGTTAATAGATGCATAATAAAGTGCGAGTGACCCTTGAGATATTACTGTGGTTAGAGCCAAAGCTCGTCGGGGATAAAACTGAGAACATCTTTTACTGACGGTGGAATGAAAATTGCTACGAGTCCAAATAATGAAATCTATAATCTACGTAGGCAAAATGTAAATTATCTTATTTGGGTTGAACAGTGTGAAAGTGATTTGATTCTATCCTCCCACAACTGAAGCAATATCAAATTATCAATCCTCAATTACTGTTTACAATGGAAATAACACAAGAGATGTATATAACACAGTGTTGTGACGAAGCTGAATCAGACACATTGAAGTGAGACTGTGAACAAAGCAGGATTTTACCTCCTAAACCAGTTTCCCTTCACTCTCTGAGGCTTCGGTCAGATGTGACTAAAATCTGTTTTTCCAGACTGAATCTATCCGTCGTCGGTCTGTCCACGCCTGTCTGTCTCCTGCAAAGTGATGGTGATAATGATGAAGGTGTTTCAGTACAGAGACTGAACGCTTAGCTGCGTCTTTATCAGCTGCAGGTTCCAGAGTCCATCCTCAGCTGTAAACACCCCTCCCCCTCTGTAAATGACCTGCAGTGTCACAGATAGAAGAACTCATGAAACCAAACGACCACATTAACAGTGTTTTATTATTGTACTTGATATCATTGGATATCCTGAACTTCCTGAACTTCCAGCCTGAACTTCAGGTTGGCACTTAACTGAAGGACTTCCCTCTCCTCACTGTCAGGGGCAGCCCTGTAATGAATCCCTCTAACAGTTTCCTGCCGCCCCAGCCTGTTCCTAATAGACCCTCAAAGAATGCTTTGGGCTCCCAGCGTCTCTTTCAGACCTAACTGGATTTACCTGTAACCATCATGTGGAGGGGGCTTACCTGAAAAAGGTGTGCAGGACCAAGCCGGGTTGGTGTGTGATGAGTACTGAAAAAATGAGTTTTCTCTCCACAAAGGTCAAATGTTTTATATAAAGCTAACGAACAGTCTGTAAGTGGTCCAGACTTACTAACGACTAATCTAACGACTAAAGAAACAAACAGCAGAACAGGCGCCAGGAGAATCAAGAAGAAGAACGTCTTCACACAGTGATTACAGGAAGTAACTCAGTCTGTTATTCACACACTTATTTTATAACAGGCTTCAGTTACTGCTTTAAGCAAGAGCACAGTCTGTATAGATCACCATGGTAACAAGCTGCTGCCGTGACTGGTGGACGGACCCTTCTTGTGCAACTTCCTCTTACTGCAAAACCCCTGAGCTGAATAGAGTTCCCTTCGCACATTGTGATGGAGAGTAACAGAGGAAGTGTGAAACTCTTGGGGGTCTCCCAACAGTGGGTATGTGTGAGGGAGGCGCTGTTGTTTCACTTCAGAGCTTCATGTCTGTCACGTTCGCATATTATTTTAAATTCAGTTTCAGCCATTTTGTTTGACCGCAGGATCCCTGTGCTGTTGGAAGGCAGAAGTCTGAACGTGGGAGGAAGGAACTGAGTTGAGCTGCATCTTCAGAGGTCAAAGGTCAAACTGAGTGGATTAACGTTTTCAGTCACCCTGAAACATCTCTCTGTGAGATATGAAGAAAACCATCTGAGGGCAGGGCCATCTCTGCCAACGCAGTGCTTTAGTCTCTCCAGCAGGATGGTGCCATCAACAGCATCAAGTCCAACTACAGTCCAGTCAAAACCAGACTGAAATGGGTCAATCTATCTCAATAACTGAGCGGCACGGTGGTGCAGTGGTTAGCACTGTCGCCTCACAGCAAGAAGGTTCCGGGTTCGAGTTCCGGCTTGAACGCGGGGTCTTTCTGTGTGGAGTTTGCATGTTCTCCCTGTGCCTCTCCGGGTTCTCCGGCTTCCTCCCACAGTCCAAAGACTAGGCTGATTGGAGACTCTAAATTGACCGTAGGTGTGGCTGTGAGAGTGAATGGTTGTCTGTCTCTGTGTGTTTGCCCTGCGATGGACTGGCGACCTGTCCAGGGTTTACCCCGCCTCTCGCCCAAAAGGATGCTGGGATAGGCTCCAGCCCCCCCGCGACCCTACTAGAGGATAAGCGGTAGACAATGAATGAATGAATATCTCAATAACTGGGGTGTGACATCACACGTTACTCGGTACATGGTCGTTACTTTTCTGTTCTGGCTCTACAGTGTTGGTGGTAGCTTACAGTTTGGTGAAGTAAAATCACGTGTACGGTTAGGACCCTCCCTCCAGTTGATGGACCAACCAGTCCTCCAACCGGATCAACCACACACGTCCTCTTCATTGGGTTGCCAGTAAACCTTGCCTCCACCCATCCAGCAGGGGGAGCTGTCTGTTCAGTTTACAGGAGGAGAAACTCAGGTTTGTATCAGCACGTTAGAAATGATCCTGTAAATATGAAACCACAGTAACACTGAGAGGTTCTTGCTGATGGACTGAACTGGTCCTGACTCTTTAGAGGAAGCTCACATCTGGATTCAACAAACTAAAAACTCACTGATGTTTGTGGAGCAGATGGAGGATCAGCTGATGGAGCAGCTGGTTCACAGTGAACACTGTGCTCTCCACCTGGTTACCACCTATGTGAAGAAATAAAGATAACTCATAGAGTTTTCTTTTACAAAACATGTAGGTCATGCACAGTGAACAGCCTCTGTCGGACACACCTTCATCGTCTGTGTACAGTGGAGGAGGCGCAGACTGATCACATGATTTCACAGGAACAATGTGTGTCAAACACACGGCTGAGTCATTCAGGTAAAACTTTTTTGTCTTTGGAGCAGTTGTGACGCTGTTGACTTGTGACGGATTCAGTCTGGAGAAGCAGAGTCTCCCTCAGCTTGTGCAGACAGAGAGGTAAGAAGAACCGCATCATCTCATGAATCTACCACAGCAGGAAAAACTCTTCTGTCGACACTGAAGTCAAAAATACTTTAATGTGAAAGTCATCGAACCTGTTGAACTGCTGATCTGAGAGCAGCTCAGTCTGCTGTTTAATCACGTTTATGATGTTTTATCACGTTTATGATGTTTAATCACGTTTATGATGTGTCTTTGTCTCCACTCAGAGTCGTCAGGATCAGACTGAGACATCTGTTCATCTGACAGGAAACAAAAAGCTTCTCTACACGTCTGGAGGAAACTTCCTGAAAATGGTCCCGAGTGTTCATAAAGTGAAATGGAGCAGGACAAATCCTCCTGACTTTATAGCTTCATTCATCGAACTGTTTGGCCACTACAGACTCAAGATGAATCAGGATGTAGATGAGCTTCACAGGATCGCTGCTGAAGTCAAAAACATAAAGCTGTTTATAATTGGAGGAGCTGTGATTGCAGGAGCATTACTTGGAGCAGCGATGATCACAGCTCCGTTCACGGGAGGTGTCAGTGTTGTGGTGTTTGGAGCTGCAAGTGTTGCTGTTATTGGTTTCATGATTAAGCTGAAAATAACAGAAGAAGAAAGTGTGAAGAAAGTGAATGAATTAACAGAAGAGTTGAGGAGGATCGTTGCATCACTGAACTGTGAACTGGAAGATGTAAAGACTGCATGTGGAGAACTACGGAGGACATCAGATGGAGCTGAGGCCTCAATGTTTATCAGACTGGAAATAAAGATACTGGAGCTGTTTGACGTTACTGCGAAACTCAGAATAACTTCAGTGATAGAAGGTGTTGCATGGTTAGCTTACAAATATAGGAAGACTTTGGATGAGTTTTTAAAGACAATAACAGAACTTGACCGAACATTTATGAGAAACTAAAGACACTGAGAAAAAGTGTTTTACATTTGGACACAGTACATCTCTGGTCTGCCGTGATTTCAGTCAGTTAATCTACAGTATCTCTGACTGAAACATGTTCCAATCAATGAATCAAGTTCAGATTCAGTGTCAGAACCTGAACGTCAGGTGTGTGTCAGATCAGATTTGATCTGTTGGTCCTAATTAAAGAGAAGCATCTTTTTTTTTTTTAGACAAGCAGCATCATTGTCCACATGTTTGTACTTTGTGTGAACCTGGAACCTCAATGATAAACCTGTAGCTTCAAACAAGTATATCAGTGCTTTAATAATATCCTCTTACTTTGTCATAGCTTAATGGGTTATGTGATTTTGCTTAATGGGCAAACAGCATGAAACCCTCTGAGATCAAGTAATATTCTCTAGTCATCCATTAATTAATCCCGTACCTAAAGAGGGTTTGGCATTAAATTTACACTATTGTATTTACTTACCCCCTGCCTCATCTCAGACACAGCAATGTGGTAAATGCAACCAGTGACTCTGACATAGAAACATGTATAAATCCATAAATCAAATGTACACTTTATACAGAATTATAATAAAAGTCCTGAGATAAAGTTCAGGTCTGTGCAGATGAAAGTGTCAACATCTGAAAGACACAACAACGTATTTATACTGTGATGAAGGTCTTTATTGACTGAAATTAAACATTGTTAATTTCATTAATAAGTTTTTATTTGAGCAGGAATAAAAGCTGTGGTGTGTCCTTTTCTCCAGCAGGTGGCCGGAGCTGAGAAACAAACTTTAATTATTATTATTTATGTAGACAGATCAGATCTTGATCTGATAAAAAAAAAAGTCACAGGTTCGAGAAGCCTGTGAACATAAAACCTGAAGGAGAAAAGTCAACTACAACTCCCAGGGTGCATTTCACCGACAAAGACCCAATCACAGAGCTTTAATTCTGTCGCGTGCTCTGCTAGCAGTGAGTAGAAGCTAAAGGTGAAACTGTAAAAACACTCGGCGGTTTAAACGACGTCATTTTCAGATTCAGGGACACTTTGTCGGTGAGTTCAGTAACTAACGCGACTTCTCTGTTCATTAATTACGCAAAGAAACGTTTTCAATTCGCTTCGAGTTTGATTCCCGCCTCTGATCGGCTTCGTCCTCAGAGAGCCTCATGGGTGTTGTAGTATGTAGAGCCGCCGCCATGTTAAGAGGACGGACTGAAGCTGGCCTCTCTGAAACGAAGACTAAACTATTCAACATGGAAGTCAGAACATGAACCTGTGTGTTGGTTCTCGGATCCAGGAGAGTCACGAGGTTCTGTTTTGAGGAACATGGAGAACGTCAGTCTCGGAGAACGTCTGAAACAGCTCGGTGGTTCGGATGGGTAGTCACTGCAGTGCTTTAGCCGGTCCTCCTACCGCCGGGGGGCGCTGTCTTCACCGTGACGCCCCCGTGTTTGGTCGTTTCCACGGCAACAGAACACCTGCGCTGTTTGTGTGTGATGTTTCAACAGTAGGAGCCCACCTGAACCGTGTGAAGCACCGTGAAGTTGGAGAGGTTGATTTGTTGTCTTTCACCTGAACATGCTGCTGAGCCAGAAGAGAACCAGGGGTCGGGAGTTCACCGGGCCGACGCCTCACTCCGCGGCCGTGGTGAGACACCGAGCCCCCGCTAACTCAGAGGTGGAGGGAGTACTCGGATATCTCACTGCAGTAAAAACTAACAGTACTACCACAGAGTACAAATACTGCGTTACCAGTTCTAAATGTTAGAAGTAAAAGTATTAATATGAATGACAGTAAACCTACCGGAAGTACATTAATATGTTCATCACTTTACTGTTGTAGGTGGAGCTGATGTAATTACACAGCTGCTGGGTAGATGGTGAATAATTATTAAAGTATGTTTATAATAATATATCATTGATTATATTTAGGATTATTGATCATAATCTGTGAAGGAGCTAAAGTTATTAAATAAATGCAGTTTCCTGTGAATTATAGTGAAATAAAACTATGAAATATAAATTATATGTATGTGATGTAACATGTAAGTGTGTTTACTCTCTGACTTTCTAACTGTTCACTGAAAGTTCAATGTAAATAAACTAATTATATATCATCATATTCATTCTAAATTAAGTCAAAGTCAGCGTTTCTTTTTATAATGGCATCACCTCAAGATGAATCAGCTCATTCTTGTGTATTCCAACACTGATGGGATTTAAATTGAAGACCAATTGATCAATCATTTTATGTTTATTCATTTAATATTATTCATGTTTAACGTTTATTATTTATATTTTACATATTTACATTTAATTTTCTTATTTTTGAATGTTTATGACAGTTTTTACTGTCATTATCCTGCCTGATGTTTGTAAACTTAATGTTCCACAAAGAGAAGAGAAAACATGATGATAATGACGTTTTTTATTATTATGTTTTGTGTTTTTTATATTTTGTTTCTCAGGGACAATAGAGTTAAGTTTTAACTCAGGTCAGAGAGACTCAGGTGTAAATGAGTTTGTGTTATGTCTCTGTTGAGCAGAGAGCCAAGTTCCCGCCGTCCAGGCCCGTGGACCACCTGATCCTGGAGAGGCAGAAACAGGACGCGGTCCGGGATGAAGTCCTGGAGTTCACCAGGTATCAGCAGACCTGCGACATCAAGAACTCATGGCTGAAGAGTTCAGACCGTCACTTCCTGAGAGGAGCCATCGAGAGGGAAGTGAGAGCTGCTGTGAAGCAGAACGAGTCCGACATCGACGAGAGGAGACACAGGTCTGTCTGCAGAGAGTAACTGAGTACTTTTACTCTAGTACTGAACTTAACTACCCCACATTTATCTGGCTGCCATGGTAACTGGTTACTACACAGAGTGAACATCTGATAAACAGGTGGTAAAATACAGCACTTTAAACATTAAAGGTTTCTAGCCTTTTTCTCTGTGAAGAAAATCATCATTTAATATTTCACAGAAATCAATCATTCATCTGAAGCACAAACACTTCAGTTCTTAGCTTTGTTGCAATGCATTCTGGGTAAATTTATGAAAATAAACTAAATGGCTGACGTCTCCCTCTGTCTCCTCAGGCTGGCTGAGCTGCTGGAGGCCGAGGAGCAGCAGCTGCTGCGGGAGCTGGAGGAGAAGAAGGAGACCACGGTGGAGAGACAGGCCAAGATGAGAGAGAGAGCCCGACTCCTGATGGAGAGGAGAGAGAGCGAGAGACAGCAGCTGGTGTCACACAAGCTGGAGCAGCTTTTCATGTAAACACCACTCTGTTCTGGTCCTGGTTCTGGTTCTGGTCCTGGTCCTGGTCCTGGTCCTGGTTCTGGTTCTGGTTCTGGTCCTGGTTCTGGTCCTGGTTCTGGTTCTGGTTCTGGTCCTGGTCCTGGTTCTGGTTCTGGTCCTGGTCCTGGTCCTGGTTCTGGTTCTGGTTCTGGTTCTGGTTCTGGTCCTGGTGCTGGTTCTGGTTCTGGTTCTGGTTCTGGTTCTGGTGCTGGTGCTGGTTCTGGTTCTGGTTCTGGTTCTGGTTCTGGTTCTGGTGCTGGTGCTGGTTCTGGTTCTGGTTCTGGTGCTGGTGCTGGTGCTGGTTCTGGTTCTGGTCCTGGTTCTGGTCCTGGTGCTGGTTCTGGTCCTGGTTCTGGTCCTGGTTCTGGTTCTGGTTCTGGTCCTGGTCCTGGTTCTGGTTCTGGTCCTGGTTCTGGTCCTGGTTCTGGTCCTGGTTCTGGTTCTTGTCCTGGTCCTGGTCCTGGTTCTGGTTCTGGTCCTGGTTCTGGTCCTGGTTCTGGTCCTGGTGCTGGTGCTGGTTCTGGTTCTGGTTCTGGTTCTGGTTCTGGTGCTGGTGCTGGTTCTGGTTCTGGTTCTGGTTCTGGTGCTGGTGCTGGTTCTGGTTCTGGTTCTGGTCCTGGTTCTGGTCCTGGTGCTGGTTCTGGTCCTGGTTCTGGTTCTGGTCCTGGTTCTGGTTCTGGTTCTGGTCCTGGTCCTGGTGCTGGTTCTGGTTCTGGTTCTTGTCCTGGTTCTGGTTCTGGTCCTGTTCCTGGTTCTGGTTCTGGTTCTGGTCGTGGTTCTGGTTCTGGTCCTGGTCCTGGTGCTGGTTCTGGTTCTGGTTCTGGTTCTTGTCCTGGTTCTGGTTCTGGTCCTGTTCCTGGTTCTGGTTCTGGTTCTGGTCCTGGTTCTGGTTCTGGTCCTGGTCCTGGTGCTGGTTCTGGTTCTGGTTCTGGTTCTTGTCCTGGTTCTGGTTCTGGTCCTGTTCCTGGTTCTGGTTCTGGTTCTGGTCCTGGTTCTGGTTCTGGTCCTGGTCCTGGTGCTGGTTCTGGTTCTGGTTCTGGTTCTTGTCCTGGTTCTGGTTCTGGTCCTGTTCCTGGTTCTGGTTCTGGTTCTGGTCCTGGTTCTGGTTCTGGTCCTGGTCCTGGTGCTGGTTCTGGTTCTGGTTCTGGTTCTGGTTCTGGTCCTGGTTCTGGTTCTGGTCCTGGTCCTGGTCCTGTTCCTGGTTCTGGTTCTGGTTCTGGTCCTGGTTCTGGTCCTGGTCCTGGTTCTGGTTCTGGTTCTGGTCCTGGTCCTGGTCCTGGTCCTGGTCCAGTCTCAGACAGGGACTCAGGTCCTTCACTGCAGCACGAGTAGATATTTATGAAAAGTATCAGTGAGGCCAAAGCTATTGCTGAGTGACTGATCAGTATTGATCATCGATTGATGACCTGATGAGACAGACATGACCCGGTCTTTGAACCGGACTTTGACCCGGAATTTGACCCGGTCTCATGACCCGGTCTTTGAACCGGACTTTGAACTGGCAGATGAATGAATGAGCTGAACGTGAACGATGATGAAGCTCGATAAGAAACGGATCTGTTGTTTTATTTCTCCGGAGCGTGTCGTTGCTCAGAGAGAGTGAACGGGCTGATGCTGTGTTTTCAGAGAGCGCTGTGAGGAGCTGCGCACCGTCCAGAACCGGCGGCGGGAGCAGCAGGTGTGCGCGGAGCGAGCCTCTCAGGTGAGGAGCCGACAGGAGCGGCTGCAGCAGCAGCGGGAGGAGGAGCGGCTGTTCGACCAGCTGTGGGAGGCGGACCGGCGAGCCAAAGACGAGAGAGAGAGGCGGCGAGCGCAGACGCAGCAGCAGAGGAACCAGGAGCAGCTGAACGTCCTGAAGACTCAGGTGGAGGAGGCCGAGCGGCAGAGACACAGGGACAAGGAGCTGAAGGAGGAGGAGGCGCGACTCATGGTCTGAACCACACACAGTGTCACCTCCAACTTTCCTCACACCAACGATTCACCTCAACACGCTGCATCATCAAAGTATCAAAGACAAAACATAATGAAGATCTATATTCATATAATAACATAAATATAATTATTAATAGAATAAATAGATAATGAAATAAAGAAAAGGAAAAAAAGAAATTGAATTATATACATATACACATATATACATTTGCAAATATCTGCATAATAATAATAATAATAATAATAATTCAGTTCAATTTTGTATAGCGGCAAATCATAATATACATTATCTCACGGCACTTCACCTTCCTTTATTATAGGAGACCAACAGTGATAATAATAATAATAATAATATAATAATGATGATAATTATAATGATAATATAATAATGATGATATTAATATAATAATAATATAATAACAATGATAATAATAACTAGAAAATTCCAGGGAAATGTTGAGTGCCACGGGGGCGACTGCTGGGACAGGGTTAGGGACAGGGTTAGGGTCAGGGTAAAAAATCTTCTGTGTGTCACTGTAGCGATGACATCACGCAGCCCTTGGCTGTCAGAGGTCAGGTCAGGAGCTGCTGTTGCCATGGCAATGTCAAAATCTGCCCAGAATTTGGCTTCTACATGGCTTCAAACAATTGCAAATTATGAGAAAACCGTTACTTCTTTTCAAAAACCGAAAACACCGTGACAGACACTGAAGCCAGAAGTTTCTACAGTCTGTATTTTATTCAGATATTCCTTAAAATGAGTGAGTAAGCTCAGTGCGAAGACAGAGTGAGATTCTTTTGAAAGAAAAAGACGATTACATTAGGTGTCAGTGAGAGTGAGACAGGTATTGCTGCCGGACTCGGCACCCCCGTTTAAATTTTGTGCAGACCCTGAGAGGGAGAGGAGTGCCTCGGGCTCTGCCTCTAGAATAGCTGTGTTCTAGCTCCACAGCTAGAATAGCTAGAACAGCTGAGCACCTGTGGCACTAATGAATAAGAATGAGTTTGGATTAGACCTCTGTTCCGAGCTGTCAGTCATGTGATCCAAGACAGAAAGAAAGATAGTGACAGCTGTGGCGATCAGACGTGGGGGTGTGTGAGGTCGTCATGTTCAGTTTGGAGGAGCAGCAGCCCCGTCCACAGCAGTGATGTCACTGCAGTGATGTCATCACTGCTGTGGGTGGCAAAAAACAGCTGTTTTAGACACTTTTAAAAGACACCCAGTGAAACAATCCAACATCTGTTTAAATGAAGCTTCATGTAGAAGATTTTCATCTTTATCTACCCGCCAAAACAATTTCAGCTCTTTCTGATTCACTGACCTGCAGCTGCGGCGTGATACAGTGCACACTGTAGGCGTGGAATACAGTAGTTCAGCGGTTGAGAAAAATGTAGTTCCAAAGGAAAGTGCTGTTTTGACAAACTGTGTGTCTGAGGAGACTGACCTGTCCCTGTCATCTCCTCCTGCAGCTGCAGCAGCAGGAGACGCAGCTCCTGCAGGAGCAGCGGGAGCAGCAGCAGAGGCAGCAGGCTCAGCACACCAGACGTCAGCAGCTGGATCAGGGTCTGAGGCTGAAGATGAGGCGTCTGGCCCGAGAGCAGCAGGACGAGCTGCAGCTGGACATGAGCATCCTGCAGCAGCTGCTCCAACAGGAAACTGACCAGAAACAGGAAGCTGCTCAGAGGAAGGTAAACTCACCTGAGCTGTTGAGAGGAAGGTAAACTCACCTGAGCTGCTCAGAGGTCAGCTGACAGGGAACTGTGGTGGGAAGTTATGTCAGACATTGTGTCCATGTGGAACAGCTGACATCTCAGTCATGACCTCTGACCCTCAAGATCCTGGACTGATCAGCTCTGTCTGCCCCTCCCTCACTGCTGCAAAATAATAATAATAATAATAATAAAACTCTATTATTTAAATAGAGAAACTGTCACTTTGATAGAATAAGTTTTAGCTTTAATTGGCTCTAAATGAAAACAGTAATCAATATGTTGTAATAAATATGTCACATGAGATAATGAGGAGTCACGGTGGATCCTCCTCTTTTTTTCCTTCTTGTTTATTGATTTTTTTTTTCTATTAAAGCTCCAAATCACAGGAAACGAATCCACATTAAAACTTTATGATAGTTAAATGAAATAATAATTAAATTGTCTGTGAAGAATTAGTTTATTAAGAGTCATAGAGACAAGAACCAAAATCATCAGGTAATAAACAGTTAAACATGAAATGGACTTGAGTCTGATCATGGAGACACTACAACTTCACTTTGTGAAGTTGACACTGATGCACCTGAACGCACCTGATGCTCAGTGAACAGGTGAGAGTGGAACAGGAAGCACTCCATGTTAGCTCAGTGTACTTCCTGATGTCAGCCACTCGAGGGCGTCAGAGAACCTCAGTACAGAGTCAATTCATTAGGAACAGCAGCTGAGGCTCCGTCTGATAGAATGATGAAGGTTCTAATGTTCAGGTGAGAGTCTGACCCCCAACCTCTGACCCCCGACCTCTGACCCCTGACCCCTGCTCTCAGGCGGAGCTGCGTGAGGAGCAGCGGAGGTACCGACAGTATCTGTATGAGGAGCTGCAGAGACAGAGGAGGGAGGAGCAGGAGACGGAGCAGCTGATCGAAGACAAGCTGAGGGAGACCTGGGCCCGGAGGGAGGAGCAGAACCGCCTGCAGAGGGAGGCCAGGAACCGACTGATGGACCAGGTCCTGGAGGCCCGACGCCTGCAGATCCAGCAGAAACGTAAGAGAACCAGGCTTTAACAGAACCAGACTGTAACAGAAGCAGACCGTCAGAGAACCCGGCTTTAACAGAAGTGTGTGTGTGTGTGTGTGTGTGTGTGTGTGTGTGTGTGTGTGTGTGTGTGTGTGTGTGTGTAGTGGTTCTGAACCAGCAGAAACAGGCGGAGCTTCAGAGAGAGGGGGAGGAGCTTCAGAGAGCGATGGAGGAGATGAAGCTGAAGGACGAGGAGGAGAAGAGACGGTACGTCCTCGAACCACAAACCGAGTTCTGTTCATGCTGGTCTGACCCGGTCTCTGTTCTGGATCAGGTCTGACCCGGTCTCTGTGTTCTGGTCTTCACAGTCAGAGGCAGACCTCCGAGGCGTACCTGGCCGACCTGAGGGCTCAGGTGCGGCAGCAGCAGCAGCTCAGGTGTGAGGAGAGGGCGGAGGCTCAGAGGGAGCAGCAGCAGGGTCGGATCCTGCAGCAGCTCTACGACCACAAGATGGACCAGATCCTGTCCAGACCCACCTCCCACACCACGGCCCCCCACCCCTTCAGGAGAGCAGAGGGGCCCAGCTCTGCCCCCAGACCCACATAGACCCGCTGGACTCAGTCTGGAGCCAGGAGTCTCCATGACAACCAGCTGGTCTCTGATTGGTTCAAATAAAATGTTCTGTCACCAACAGATTGTTTTTAATGTTTGCAGTAATCCTGTGATCTGACAGCTGATGTTTCAGTCAGAATTTTGAGATCAGCTGTAGTTTGATTATAGATTATAGATCATTGATTATAGATCTGTGTGGGAGGATACGACAGAGAGCAGACATTACATCACACACCTGCAGCTCAGGTGTGCTGGTGTCCTGCGAACTGTTGGGTAATGCAGAGGGAGGAGATCTTCGTTGCATCAAGTCTGAGTGTTTTATTGTGAAAGAACCCTGAAGACAACAGTAATCCTCAGTCTGACTCACTACTTCCTGTTTGTCGTCAGGTAACAACAGGTGAGCTTCACCTCTCAGGAAGGTTTAGGAAAAGATGGTGGTTTGGGTTAAAATAAGTTTCCCCTCAACATTAGATGATCTCTGTTGTCATGGTTACAGTAACAACAACAAACAGTCATGGATAATAGAAACAACATGGGAATCGAACACACGGCTCTCCTGTGTCACATTCATCCAACAGTTACAATATTTACACGTTCTGTATCCATGTTACTTCCTGATGAATCATAGTGAAAATGGGGGGGGGGGCATTTACCATGCTGGGGCCCCTTCAAGGACCCGCCCTGAGGACCACCGCTTTACAGAGGCAGGAAGCAGGAAACAGCTGATCTGAACCTCCAGCCCTTCCCACAGACACATGCTCAGTGAGCGTTTAAAAACCTCTTTGTGCTGCTGCCTTCACGGTGGCGACAGTCATAATGCCTTTGGTGGGCGGACCGGCGTCGGCAGGTAAACACCTCATTCCAGCAGAGGGAGTGGTTTGGGAGTGGACTCATTACCTGCTGTCAGAATAATCGTTGTGCTCAGACAGGTCTGAGACGAGCTGCTTCCCACAGTCAGAGCAGAGATCTGGAGCTGCTTCTGACGGGACGAGGATGACCAGCGACTACTATCCCTACTCCAAGGTAACGCTCATTTTAAAGCTCATATGTCTGTCGGGTCAGGACTGTAGAGACCTCTTAGGGTCAAAGGTCATGTACTTCACACTATCAGCTTGTTCCAGTCCACGTTACGTAAGGTCACAGATAAGATCCTCTCCTTCAAGGACCTTGTTACTGTCAGAGGAGAAAATCTGAACCAGGTCCTACACAACATACAAATACTCTATTACCAGTGAACGCATCCTACATTCAACGTTTAACTCAAGATCAAAGTAAAAACACGATTTTCATCAGCAGAATGAACTTTAACCATCAAAAGTCAAAGTTGTAAAATGTTGAAAAGTCAGAAGAAATGTTCAAACTGTGAAACAGAAACAATAAAAACCTGTTTCTTGTTTTCTGATGTTCCTCCATTAAACTGAAGAACTCTGACGTTTGGATCAAACTCCAAAAATACTAGATCCTACATTTCCCATGATGCACCTGGATACTATCAGACATTTGTGGTCTAAGATAGGACAGTTATTTTCTCCTCCTGAGACAGACGTCAAACACCTGAGGAGGACGGACAGGTAAACTGAAGTTCACCTGTTGTATCAGTGACGTGCTCCTTCACTCAGACTCATGAAAACCTGCATCCAATCAGAGCTTCATGTGTGACTAGTGATGTCACACAGGTGTGCTGAACACCCTCCAGTCAAACGTGTATCTGTTGTTCACTGAGGATGTTCACTTTGTTTTCACCTTCATCTGCTGGAGGAGGGAAGTTTCTCTGTACTTCACCTCAGATCTCAGTTCAACACCTGGATGCACCTGCAGGATTTATGACATCACAACCAGGTTGGAGCCAATCAGGGCCCAGTATAGGCCTGACACTGTGATGTGGAAACCTGAAGCCTCCAGGCTTGATCTGTTGTTTAGGTGTTTCTGTTTTTCTGTCCACCCTGTATCCAGGTGTGATGTGATGATGTCATGGCGGCTGCAGGTGGCTGTTGTGTCGATGTTGACACAGGTGAGGTCAGAGTGACTGAGTCTGGACGTGTTCCTGTCTGAAATAACTTTATTTACACAAAATTATTTTTTTTCAAACAAAATTATAAAAAATGATGGAAAATAAAAATGTAACATAAAGAAATGAAAATAAATAAATGATGATAAAGAAACAATAATGTAAACGAAATTCAATGTGACTGCGTCTGATTCACCTCGGGACCGTTTGTGGGGTCTCGACCCTCATGTTGAGAACCAGTGATCCGTGTGTGTGTGTGTGTGTGTGTGTGTGTGTGTGTGTGTGTACAAACCTGGCTGGGATCCAGGCAACCCGCCAATCAGGCGGCTCAGTGTGTCAGGAAGTGCTTGGCCTCTCGCGCTCCTCTCTCCGTGTTTGGATCATCTGCGGCTTCTTTTACTTTGAGACGTTTCTGTTTTTTTTTCCCGCGCTGGACTGAAGTGAGTGGTCGCGCGGACAGACCGCGCTGTAGTGACCGGAGGAGGAACACCTGCCGAGAGCCGAGCTGCACCGAGCGAAGTGACCGAAACTCCGCCGGACACCTGCCCCCCCCTCCACCCGGGAACATGCGGACTGACACACTTCACCTGGATTAGAAGAAGAAATTTTGGGTTCTAGTTATGGTTCTGTTCGCGGTTCCGTTCGTGGTTCTATTGGATTCTTAATGGGAACAGAAACAGCGTCGTAGTTTGTTCGCACAGGGAGAGCACGAGCTGAAGATGTCTGTGAACGAGCTGTACACAAAGGTGAGGGGGGGGGGGGGTTACCTGTGAAACACACACACACCGACCCCCACCACACTGACTCATTCACTACCGGACACACACACCGGCATTTGTCCGTGTCACAGATGCACCTGTTCAGACCGACCTGCACTAAACTCCATGTTAATTCTCAGCCGCTGTGAGAGGTGAGTCACCTGTTCCCGTGGGCTCGTGACGTAGAGAAGGAGAGCAAAAGTCCAGATACTGTAGAAATGATCTGTGTGTGTGTGTGTGTGTGTGTGTGTGTGTGGTGTGTGTGTTTGTGTGTGTGTGTGTGTGTGGCGGGGGGTCATGTTCACTGACTCTGTACAAGAGCCGCAGAACAGACGCTTCACTATAAATCTACAGGTGTTAAATGGAGTTCTGTTACGTCACAGGTGAAATCACTTCTTCTTCTTCTTTTCATTGATCACCCTGACACATTGTGATGTCATGAAGATCACAGTCCAAAAACACTTGATCCTAAATTTCCCATAATGCAACTGGATAGTGTGACAGATTAGTAGTCTGAGACAGGACAGAGTTATTTTCTCCTCCATCAAACACCTGAGGAAGACAGACAGGTAAAGTGAAGTTCACCTGTAGAATCAGTGACTTGCTCCTTCACTCAGATTCATGAAAACCTGCAGCCAAGAGCCTCGTCATGGTTTCACAGGTATCTGTGGATGTAACCTGAGCTGTGGTCGGTCTGGTTCTACACTGCTCTGAGGGGGGGGGGGGCGTTCAGAGGTGTTAACCCTCTGAGGTCTTTAAGACGTTTCTTTGAATTTCAGACATGTTGTTAAATGTTGTTCAAATTTATACCGTTCAATCTTCAATTCTTGTGAGATCATGTGACTCACAGCTGGAGCTGAGGGCCAATAAGGAGGCCTCTAACAGCTGGTTCATTTTACACATTTATTCTACATTGATCTACTATTTTACTCAGAAATTGAACTGTTTTCTATGAACCTAAGACTTTGATAAACACAGTTTAATTCATCCGCGTCAGTCATCAGGCCTCAGTGTTTCAGCGTCTGGGAAAATGATTTATCTGTTAGTGATCTTATTATAGAAAGAGCTGAGAGTTCTGAACATTGCGATATAAACATGGATGTTACGTTATGTGATGTTAAAGACTCAGTTCTTTATGACTGTAAACTACAACATACACTGTTTTATCTTATCTGAACCTAAAGCCATAGAATCTAATAATACATAAACCCATAATGTATTTAATTTTAACCCCCCCCTTCACAGGAGGACAACTTTATTTATATCTAATTATCTATTTTTACATTAGAAAGAAGATATCCACCTTAATCCAGTTTATTTCTCTGCTCATGTATTTTATATTTAAATGAGACTCTGTGATGAAACTGTCAGTTTCAGATTTTCTGAGTGGCGGAGGGATACGATACGAGGAGGTGATGAGGCAGGATGACTGGTCACAGCCTCAGGTTGATGAATCCAGCAGCTCGTTCATGCTTCATATAAAGTCGAGTGTAAAAGTTTTAATTAGTGCGACACTGATTCGTTAAGAGGCTTTTACACAGAGACTCAGTCACAACCTTGTTAATTCATCATCAGGAATCAGGAACCTTCATTCACTCCTGACTCCCGTTCAAAAAGCTTTATTGACAAATATCCTGGAGACAACAACACTGTTAAAGCTGGAGAGGTGGAGCCTCTAAAGACACCGACCAGGTGCATCATGGGAAAAGTAGGCTCCAGACACGGAAGTGTCCCAAAAACAGATGGAGCTGCCGACAGTCGGACAACGCTTCTTTATGTTCTGATTATTTTTTATTGATTAACTGATGATCTAAACTTTACAGTGAATTAAGGGTGAACATGTCCTGTGATGTCACACCTCCTGGAGTCTGAAGGTTCATGATGTTCAGGTGTCCTCACACCTGAGGTCAACGACCCATCAGCTCCTCAGTCTGTGCATCACTGTGAATGTGACACTGTGGACCAATCGGATTACTGATTTAGGATATCTGATTCATCTGTGATGAAAATACTCGTTAGTTGCTGCCACAGATGAACTATGAGGAAAATATCAGTTAGTCGTTGCTGGATCAGAGTACACCTGTAACACACCTGTAACACACCTGTAACACTAAGCTAACCAGGTGAAGCTCTGGTGGAGCTGTGACAGAATGATGTCAGATTCTTCCTGTGATGGAGACAGACTTTTGTGTGATGATGTCATGTGTTGCATGAAGTGTTTTGATGACATCACACCTGTGACATCATGTGACTGGACCCATAAGGTAGAACTGTTATTGGTGAAGATGAACTAATAATCAATAATCATTTCAGCTCTGACTCTGATGAGTCAATTTAAACTGATCAGCTGATCAACTGATAATCAATAAGTGTTGTGTTTACATAACAGAGTGCAAACTGCCAGCAGCTGTTTACAGGAGTAAACAACAGGATGACAGTCGGATTAATTAGTCATTGTTAGATGGGGGGGGAGTGGGGGGGGGTGGGGGGGGGCTCCATCTGTACCGTCAGATTGTGAAAAGGCTGTTTGAAAAGATTCATTAAAACTGATGATTTGATTTCAGGAAATCGTGTGTGTGTGTGTGTGTTGTGGTGTGTGTGTGTGTGTGTGTGTGTGTGTGTGTGGTGTGTGTGTGTGTGTGTGTGGTGTGTGTGTGTGTGTGTGTGTGTGTGTGTGTGTGTGTGTGTGTGTGTGTGTGTGTGTGTGTGTGTGTGTGTGTGTGTGTGTTCAGTAGAACAGTATAAATGTGTGTGTGTCTGTAATCCTCCTCTGGACTCTGTAGTCCACATCATTAAGTAGGGCCACTTAAATCCTCTCCTGCTGTGAGACTAACTAATCCTGAGGGGGGGGGCTCCATCTGGTTCAGGGACTGAGACTGAGCTGAGTCATGGAGTCTGTAACCAGTAACTAGTCTGTAACCAGTAACTAGTCTGTAACCAGTGAGGCCTTGTTGTTGTTGTTGTTGTTGTTGTTGTTGTTGTTGTTGTTGTTGTTGTTGTTGTTGAGCAGACGAGCTCAGACTCTGATCCAGATCCAGGTCTTACCACCTGGGACCATGATGTGGTGTCTACAGGTGGATGTGTGTTGTCGAAGTTCCTCGACAGGTGGAGTTGTGACTTCCTACTGGACACACCCAGAGTTCACCTGGGGATGATGTCATTGTGCTGACATGTCAGTGGGCGGAGACTCACCTGTGTGCTGCTCTGTGTGTAACCTGAGACAGGTGTTGACGTCCTCTCAGCCTGTAACAACAGTCAGTGAAACAGAGTTTTACCACTGAAGGATTCAGAGGTATCTCAGTGTTTCTTCAGGTGAAGGTTCTTAGAGAACTGATGGATGGTTCCTCTGACCTGCAGCTTTGTTAAAAACATTCATGTGTACATTAAAGCCAAATACAAAGCTGATCCTCGTCGGCCATGACGGCTGCCTGTTCACAGCCTGTTGATGAAAGCATGAGTCCACCTGGATGCAGAGACGTCTCTGAGCTGTAGGACGGAGCTGTCGTGGTGAGGTGAACAGGAAAAACATAAAGTCAACTGTCCAGTCTTTAAATGAATGCAGCCGCTCACCTGTCTGCCATCCGTCTCTCACCTGCAGAGGTGTAGTCTGTTTGTTTACGTACCAGAGCGCACCTGTGGTGCACGTGCACGGCTGAGTTATGGCTCATATCAAAGGTGATGTAACCGCTGTAACCACGGTGACAAGTTTACATACATTCCCTGGCTTGTGTCGAGTAAATGAAGCTGCATTGGAAACATCCATTCAGAGGAGAAGCTAAGCTAACAGGCTAGGCTAAGCTAGCTGTCTGTCGTGTCTGTGTGAAAGCATCACAGATGAAGAAACTGTCAGAGAGTGAAAGTCTGTTTTTACTAATGAACCCTTTAGTTCTCTGAGCAGCTCAGAGGTTACAGCAGCTGCCGCCATCTTTTAAAGTGGAATGTTTTCTTGAGTGTTACTTGATGTGTGATTGATATTTGGAAATCAATCAATACACCTTAAATGACAATAATCACTCTCTACATGGAAGATACTTAAAGATGATCAGATACTGATCAGATTTTAATCAGAGAATCCATTTGTCCAACCTCACGGTGAAACAGCCCGTAAAACTAAACCTGAAGAGCAACTTGTGCTCAGCTGTTTCTGACCCCCCCCCCCCCCCATTGTGATGGCTACCTGAGTAACTGGCCAATCACAGCACAGATACTATACTTCCTGTTTTAGTACAGGTGTCAGTCAGTGTTGATGCTGTGGCAGGAAACAGCCACTGTTTTATTAGAAGGCTGCCCCTCCCCCACTGAAAAATACATCCCTGCTGGGGGGGGGGGCAATGTACACATTGATGAGAAGTGAAGTTGAGGCTGAAAATATGTGTGTGTGTGTGTGTGTGTGTGTGTGTGTGTGTGTGTGTGTGTGTGTGTGTGTGTCCTCATTATTGCTGGTGTTTCCTGCTGAGATGCTCCACATGAGGACTTCATGCTGCTCAGCCATTGGTCGGTTTCTGACGCTGTCCCAGATAAACACACTGAGGGAGGTCGTGTCACATCACAGGCCTCCTCTGATTGGCTGCAGCTCGACATGAATGAGCAGTGAGGACGGCTCTTTATCTGCTGATGAAGAGTTTCTCTGAACTCACATGTTCACATTAAAGTTTTCAGCTTTAATCTGGAAGTCAAACACCAACAGGAAGTGCCAGACAGCTCTCCTCCTTATTTTTCGCCTCATCACTGAGTCTGTGAAATGTTCATTCTCTGAGTTGAATCTAAATATTTCACAGCATGAATCTGAACTCTGCAGATAAACAGTGAAAGTAGGTCGACGCTGTGAACCAGATCTCAGATCAGACCCCTCCTCCTCTTAGGCTCCACCCACACTGACTTATATGTTTTACTTTTAAAAACAACTCTTCCATGTTTCCTCCTCCGTCCACACGACTCCACAGTCTGCAGCCTCTGAAACAGAGACTCCACAAACTCTGCTGGACACCTTTTATTCTGAAAACTCTGGGGTTGTGTTGTCGTCTGGACGGACAGAAACAGACCTTTGGATACGATGAGGTCACACCGTCGGTCTCTCCTGATTGGCTCTCAGCATGATAATGAATAACAGTGTTACTGACCTTGTCTTTGCTAGCAGCAAGAAAACACTGTTTTGCCTTTGTGTGAGAGTGTAGACAGAAGCTGTGTCTCTGTCCTTCAGCTGACTCACTGGTAATTCACTGCAGAAATACTGGTTTGTCTGTGGGAGTACTGGTTGGCCCCGGGGCCCTGAACAGGTTCATCCGGCCCTGAGTCTGTTGGTCTCACTCAGGAAACCACAGAGACATGAGGAGTCTCGGTGAAACCTCTCAGTCCTGTTGTGTCCTCAGCAGCTGGACAGATGTTAACATCTGCTCTCTGTGACTTCCTGTCTGCAGGTGGATCACCTGTGATCAGTCTGACACAGTCTCACCTGGTTCAGCATGGAAACAAATGAAGGAGTCAGTTTATATGTGGAGTGAAAGAAGCTGGACCTGGACCAGCTGACAGGTCTTTGTCTATGTCTCTGCAGTGTGTGTGTTGTGTGTCGTTGGTGTGTGTTGTGTGTGTACTTCCTTCATTGTCTCCATGGTGATGATGACTCCGACTGTTCCCCTTCAGTCAGTCAAACTTCCCCCCCAGATAAAACCAGGTACAGTCTGTACTGTGGGCGTGGCGTCATGTGACCTCTGGTGATTCCTGCCTGTCACACAGGTGACAGGTGTTTGCGTCACCATGTAAATGACTCTCTGGTTTCAGTGAAGCAAATTTGCATTAAAGCAGCTGAAGGCGATGATGTCATCCACCTTCTCCTCAACTGTGACGGGGCGGCTCACCTGTCAGGTAACCTGCTGCTTCCTCCTTCACCACAGTTTGTCTGTTGGAAGGAGGAAGTGACACCTCGTTAGCTTCCTGCCATCATCATCATCATCATCATCATCATCATCAGTGTGATGTGGAGCTGACGAGTGAGCAGCTGTGACACCTGAGCGAGTAACTTAAAGCTGCTGCCCAGGTGTTCTTATTGAAGGAATTTTCAGTTGAGTTCATTTCATTGATCATCATGTTGTAGTTCAGGTAGAGGCTGTTTCTTTGAGGACGATTTACAGCTGGAACAGCTGGAACAGCTGCGTTCTTCAGCTCATCACAGCTGTACCTGCCTGTCAGAGAACACACCCTTCATATCCAGTCTGTAATATATATTAAACTCTAATGACACCGCCTCTGTTCATTTCATTTATATATATTTATGTTTACTGACGTGTATTTGAATTCACAGAGGCAGAGCTGATGTTAAACTGTCAAAACCAATCCAGTATTTTTAGCTTCATCTTCTCAGACTGACGAGCAGCAACAAATATTATATTTCAAGATCAAAGTTCATCTTCCAAAAGGAAGTTTATCAGATATTAAAACACTCCAGAGCCAGAGGTCAACGACATCAGAGGTAACACACTGACCGGCCAGTCGTCTCAGTGGCTGGGCGGCGGGCGGCGGTCACCCCTGATAGGACGGTTCTCACGTCTTTGAACACGCCAGAGATAATTTCCTAACATCCGAAAAAACATCAGAACTTAATGAAGTGATGTGGCTTCACCTCCTGTCCTGCAGAGACAGGAGGGGGCGTGTCCTCCTCCTCCACTGCAGTCAGTCAGACTGTCCTCTGTTAATGTGGGTTAATCTCTTTAAATGAATCAGCTCTGATCCGGTTCTTCAGATGACTCAGTGACTTTAACACTGGAGGGTTCTCCGAAGAGTCAGTCATGAAGGTCTCAGGTGTTTACCCATCCAGTCACAAGGTCCAGGTCTGAGAGGACTTTATCTCAGCCTGGTCCACGTGTCAGGGTTCTCTCATCCTGATGTTCTAGTTCTCCTCCTGTGTTCCCTCATTAATATAAACGCTGACTCAGACTTAGTTTTCTCTCAGTGGAAAACAGGAGGAACGGCTCTAATCATTCTGTGTATTAAATCTCTCTCTGAATTCACTGGTAAGTAGGACGAGAACCCAAACTGTCTCCTTCCATGAGGTTCTTCAGATCACTGGCAGATAGAACCTGACAGAACCTGGGTTTGTGAGGATACAAACAGTCGTGGCGTGCTGTGGTTCAGACTGATGGATCCTGTGCTGATGCTCTGACTGTTCATCAAGCGCCACCATGAGGTTGACGTCTGTAGCTACAGCTGACTTCAGTTGTCCACAGGGTTCTTGAGCTTAGACTTGGTTTTAATAAAGAACATCATATGTTCTAACACAGTTTTGTATTGATGCTTCAACCAGGAGACTTTCATGTCTATGAGAACATGGAACTGTTACTGCAGAACACAGGCCTCACGGCTCTGCAGAACATGTTCCTTCTTCACGGCTCCCAGTGGAAAGGCTATTTTACAGTGTGGAACATGATGTTCTCAGTGTGGAACATGGTGTTCTCAGTGTGGAATATGTTGTTCCCAGTGTGGAACATGGTGTTTTCAGTGTGGAACATGTTTTCAGTGTGGAACATGGTGTTCTCAGTGTGGAACATGGTGTTTTCAGTGTGGAACATGGTGTTCTCAGTGTGGAATATGTTGTTCTCGTGTGGAACATGGTGTTCTCAGTGTGGAACATGATGTTCATGTGATGAAGGACGCTCGGCTGTAACAGATTAGCCTTAGCGAGGAGCTGATGATGAGAGTAGAAACTCGTTAATCTACAGAAGCAGATAAAACTTGTAATTACCTGATTACTGTGAATACAGAAAGTGAACTCTGGCAGGAACCGGTCAGAGGGCCGAGGATCAGGTTTCCGTGGTTACAGCGTCTCTGAGGTTGTTTTCTTTCTCTGTATTTTTCCTGCGACTCGACACAGACAGAAGTCGATCTTGTCTTAGAAATAAATATGAGTAAAAGTGAATTGTGTTTGATTGGAGGTTTTTAAAGCAGCAGCTGATCGTATTTCTTTTTGTCAGAAGTTAAATCCTTGATCAATAAATGTTTCACTTCCCCACACTGCACCACCTCATCACATTTTCATCAGCTGCTAACTGGAGAAACCACAACAGACACTTGTGTCTGTGATGTGTGTGAGTCCGACAGGTGAGGTGTGTTCACAGGTAGAGATCCATCTGTTTCATCTTTAAATATTTACATCTATTAATAAAATGTGAACAGAAATCAATTATTCACCAGGAAACCCCAGTTTCCTGCTGCAGCAGCCTCCAGCTGTAACAGACAGCACCGACGCCTCCTCCGGTTCTAACCAGCTCAGAACACATGAACATCTGTTCCACAGTTTCCTCCTGCAGAACCCACAGGAACACGTTCCCCAGACTGATTGAATCTGAACATCAGCTCTCTGCCGCAGGTGGAACTGATCTGCTGTGGAAGATATTTTCTTTACAGCTGATTATAGAAATATTCAGTTTATGGAACTGATCATGTGTCAGAAATAAAACGACCATCAGCTGTTTGATATCTGAACGTGTTGGCCTCCTTCAGTGTTTCTTCTTCTTCTGTGGAATCAGAGATGCATGAGATCATGATCTGACCTGACGTTGTGTGTTTCAGTTCACTCGGGTCTGGATCCCGGACCCTGAGGATGTGTGGAGAGCTGCAGAGATCACCAGGGATTATAAAGAAGGAGAGTCGGTTCTCCACCTCAAACTGGAGGATGAGACGGTACGTAACACGTTCTATCAGAGAGAACACACTCAGCTGAACATGTTTGTGCACAACATGAAAACAATGAAAAGAATCAGAACTTTACTGATGCTGTTTTAGTCATAATTAAAATAATGTTGCGACAAAATGACAAAAACATATGAAACCGTTTGATTGATTGTCGTCTGCAGCTGTGTGTGTTAGCTCAGGGCATCACTCTTTTAATAAAACACGTTAGCCACTTGAGAATTCAAGATGGCCGCCATTTCTGGCAAGGAAATGTCATTTTTTACAAAAAATTCACCCACAATTTTTCCGTATGAATGATCTATAGGTGTCAGACATCTTAATGACATGGACGGCGATATTTAGTTCACTGTAAAAAATTAACCCTACGTTTTACAAATTAAAAGTCCTGCTGAATTAGAACAATCACACAGAGGCCAAAAACCTCGTCAGCATAAAAATGATTTAAATTCTTAAACATAATATTTAATTGACATTAAGAATTGTGACTCTGACGTCCTCATAGTCAAAAACAGGGTTACCTTACAAAATCATTGAAATCAGGTCCGGTGGGTAAAATATGTGTTTCTATGCTGGAAATTGAGGCCATCTTGGAAAATGGTGGCCTTTTGAAATTTCAAGTGGCTAATGATATTTTTCAAATTGATGGCCCCAGGGGAAAAACAAACCAATTTAGATCCTCGTATCTACATTTGAAAGATTATTAAATATAGTTATTATATTATTATATTGTGAATTGATTGATTGTGTATTGATTGATTGTGTGTGGTGTCGTCCTCTCTCAGCCTCTGGAGTACTCCATTGGTCCGAAGAGTAACCCTCTTCCCTTCCTCCGTAACCCCGACATCCTGGTGGGGGAGAACGACCTCACTGCTCTCAGTTACCTGCATGAACCTGCCGTCCTGCACAACCTCCGAGTCCGCTTCCTGGAGTCCAACCACATCTACACCTACTGCGGTCAGTCCCCCGGCCCCCGTCAGGTCTACATGTCCTCATGGGTTCATATATTACAGTTTTATTACCTGCGCCAGATAACGATCTAGATCCAGATCCAGATCCTGATCATGATCATGTGGAATCAGAGCGTTTCATTAACGAGGTGTCGGTTGCTCCTGGTAACAAATGACCAGAACGTAACGTCTCACACACGTTCTGCATGAAGCTGGGGTGGTGTGTTCCACAGCTGATGGTCCTGTGGTTCTGCATGTTGAGGTTCTGTGTCGTGTTCTCCAGGGATAGTGCTTGTGGCCATCAACCCGTACGAGCAGCTGCAGATCTACGGCGAGGAGGTCATCAACGCCTACAGTGGACAGAACATGGGCGACATGGACCCGCACATCTTCGCTGTGGCGGAGGAGGCGTACAAACAGATGGGCAGGTCAGACCTGCACCTGTCAGTCAGGGATCAGGGTGGATCGGTGTAGACGTCAGCTGATGGTTGTTGTTGGTTCTGCAGAGACGAGAGGAACCAGTCCATCATCGTCAGCGGAGAGTCAGGAGCGGGAAAGACGGTGTCTGCCAAGTACGCCATGCGCTTCTTCGCCACAGTGGGAGGTTCAGCCAACGACACCAACGTGGAGGAGAAGGTCCTCGCCTCCAGCCCCATCATGGAGGTGAGTGTCTGCGACATTGGTAACCTGGTAGAAGAAGAACGAGGCTCCGCCTCCAACTGACCCTCTTTCATGTCCCTCTCTGTGCACCAGGCGATTGGAAACGCTAAAACCACTCGAAACGACAACAGCAGTCGCTTTGGGAAGTACATCCAGATCGGCTTCAGCCGAGGGTTCCACATCATCGGAGCCAACATGAGAACATACCTGCTGGAGAAGTCCCGGGTCGTCTTCCAGGTGTGTATGTGTTGTTGTTGTGTTCTTCTTGTTGTTGTTGTAGTAGTAGTTGTTGTTGTTGTTGTTGTTGTTGTTGTTTTTGTATTTGTAGTTGTTGTGTTGGTGTGTTGTTGTTGTTGTTGTGTCGGTGTGTTGTTGTTGTTGTTGTTGTTGGTGTTGTGTTTTTGTTGTTGTGTAATGGTTGTATTTGTTGTATTTATTGTGTTGGTGTGTTGTTGTGTTTTTGTTGTTGTGTAATTGTAGTTGTTGTGTTGTTGTGTTTTTGTTGTGTTGGTACTGTTGTTGTAGTTGTTGTGTTTTTGTTGTGTTGTTGTTCTAGTTGTTGTGTTGGTGCGTTGTTGTTTTGTTTTTGTTGTGTTGGTGTTGTAGTTGTTGTGTTGTTGTAGTGTAGGTGTATTATAGTTGTTGGTGTAGTTGCGTTTTTGTTGTGTTGGTGTTGATGTTGTTATTGTTGTTGTTGTGTTGGTGTGTTGTGTTTTTGTTGTGTTGGTGGTGTTGTGTTTTTGTTGAGTTGGTGTTGTTGTAGTTGTGTTGGTGTGTTGTTGTTGGTGTTGTTGTGTTTTTGTTGTGTTGATGTTGTTATTGTTGTTGTAGTTGTTGTTGTGTTGGTGTGTTGTGTTTTTGTTGTGTTGGTGTTGTTGGTGTGTTGTTGTTTTGTTTTTGTTGCGTTGGTGTTGTTGTAGTTGTTGACATGTTGGTGTTGTTAAGTTGTTGTTTTGTTCTCGTTGTAGTTGTTGTGTTGTTGTTCTTGTTGTAGTTGTTGTGTTGGTGTTGTTGTTGTGTTCTCGTTGTAGTTGTTGTGTTGTTTTTGTTGTAGTTGTTGTTGACATGTTGGTGTTGTTGTGTTGTTGTCGTTGTTGAGTTGTTGTTGTGTTCTTGTCATTGTTGTTGAGTTGTTGTTGTGTTCTTGTTGTAGTTGTTGTGTTGGTGTGTTATTGTTGTTTTGTTTTTGTTGTGTTGGTGTTGTTGTAGTTGTTGACATGCTGGTGTTGTAAAGTTGTTGTGTTGTTGTTGTTGTTGTTGTTGACATCTTGTCATCCTGTTTGTTTACAGGCTGAAGATGAGAGGAACTATCACATCTTCTATCAGCTCTGTGCTTCAGCCTCTTTACCAGAGCTGACAGAGCTCAGCCTCAGTGAGTCACTCTGCTAGTTACTAGTTACTACTACTAGTAACTAGCAGTAATACTTATCTAGTAGTGGGTTGGTGAGTGGTTCCTGGTTGACCTCCAGTCTCACCATGTGACTCACATGTTGCTAATGTCAGGTGTGTTCTGTGTTCTCAGCCAGTGCAGAGGACTTCACCTACACGTCTTTAGGAGAGAACATCTTCATCGAGGGAGTGAACGACGCCGAAGACTTCAAGAAGACCAGAGAGGCCTTCGGTCTGCTGGGTAAGACCCCCCCCCCCCGTTCTCTCGTTTCAAATGGTTCTTTATTGAGTTTTTATCTGTCAGGTGTTTTAATAGAACCAGAAGTTCTGTTGATTTTATCCTCCAGCTGTTTCCTGAACGTTTCCAGTGTCACATTAAAACAATGTGACTAAAGGTGTGCTCTTAATTTGAAGGACTTTCCTGGATTTCACCAGAGAACCAATCACAGAGTTCTTGTTCTGTTGTTCCTCATCTGTCACATCAACCAGGGTCCCCTCAGGTTTATGTTGGTCCCCATGTGGTTCTCGATCCCCCAGTGAGGACAGCTTCTCACATGAAGGAACATCTTGAATTAAAAAACATATTCAGAAACATGTGAGTGTCTCATAAGACCAGAGACCCACTGGACCCAGTTACACCTGATCTGACCCAGGACCTGGTCTGAACCAGTTAGACCTGGTCTGACCCAGTTAGACCTGGTCTGAACCAGTTGGACCTGGTGTGACTCAGACCATGGTAGACCTGAGGACAGTCTGATGGCATCTCTGTGTGTCCTCAGGTGTGAAGGACAGCAGTCAGAGCAGCATCTTCAGAGTCATGGCGTCCATCCTTCACCTGGGGAACGTAGAGATCTGCTCGGAGCGAGACGGGGAGTCCTGTCACATCTCGGTACGTGGTTGCTGTGGTTACACTGATGAGCAGCGTGTCACAGCTCAGGCCGCTAACAGATGCTGTGTGTGTTGCAGAGGGACGACCCCCACCTGAAGCACTTCTGCCGGCTCCTGGGGGTGGAGCTGCAGCAGATGGAGCACTGGCTCTGTCACAGGAAGCTAGTCACTGCCTCCGAGACCTACGTCAAGACCATGTCCAGCAAAATGGCTGCCAACGCCCGCGATGCGCTCGCCAAGCACATCTACGCACGCATGTTCGACTGGATCGTGAAGCACATCAACAAGTCGCTGCACACGTCCTCCAAGCAGCACTCCTTCATCGGCGTCCTGGACATCTACGGGTACGACGCCAAGACCATCATCCTCTGCTTCTCACACACACACACACACACACACACACACACACACACACACACACACACACACTCACACTCCTGTCATGTTCGTGTGTGTGTGTGTGTGTGTGTGTGTGTGTGTGTGTGTGTGTGTGTGTGTGTGTGTGTGTGTGACTGCAGGTTCGAGACGTTCGAGGTGAACAGCTTCGAGCAGTTCTGCATCAACTATGCCAACGAGAAGCTTCAGCAGCAGTTCAACTCTGTGAGTCTCTTCGACCCTCATCACCTTCATACGTCTCATACGTGTGTCATACATGTGCTGATGAACATGTCCTCCTGTGGTCTGGCAGCACGTGTTTAAGCTGGAGCAGGAGGAGTACATGAAGGAACAGATCCCCTGGACTCTGATAGACTTCCATGACAACCAGCCCTGCATAGACCTGATCGAGGCTCGGCTCGGAGTCCTGGACCTGCTGGATGAAGAGTGTAAGGTGAGACTGCTCCTCTTCCTCAGTGTCTCTGTGTCCGTGTCACCAGTTTATTAGGAAGAGCAGCTCAAACTGAGTCAGTCTGAGACAGTCCTAAACCCTGAGGCAGGAGCCGGACTCATCCAGTCTCTGGAGACCTGATCCTGTGGACCTGTGTCTGTTGTTGTGTCTCAGGTGCCGAAGGGGACAGATCAGAACTGGGCCCAGAAACTCTACAAGCAGCACTCCAGCAGCGTCCACTTCCAGAAACCTCGTATGTCCAACACCTCCTTCATCATCATTCACTTCGCTGACAAGGTGAGCAGACTGAGAGTTCTCTGACTGTTCTGACTGTTCTCTGACTGTTCTGACTGTTCTCTCTGACTGTTCTGACTGTTCTGACTATTCTCTGACTGTTTTCTGACTGTTCTCTGACTGTTCTCTGACTGTTCTCTGGCTGTTCAGACTGTTCTCTGACTGTTCTGACTGTTCTCTGACTGTTCTCTCTGACTGTTCTCTGACTGTTCTCTGGCTGTTCTGACTGTTCTCTGACTGTTCTCTGACTGTTCTCTCTGACTGTTCTCTGACTGTTCTGACTGTTCTCTGACTGTTCTCTCTGACTGTTCTGACTGTTCTGACTATTCTCTGACTGTTTTCTGACTGTTCTCTGACTGTTCTCTGACTGTTCTCTGGCTGTTCTGACTGTTCTCTGACTGTTCTGACTGTTCTCTGACTGTTCTCTCTGACTGTTCTCTGACTGTTCTCTCTGACTGTTCTCTCTGACTGTTCTCTGACTGTTCTCTCTGACTGTTCTCTCTGGCTGTTCTGACTGTTCTCTCTGACTGTTCTCTGACTGTTCTCTCTGACTGTTCTCTCTGACTGTTCTCTCTGATTGTTCTGACTGTTCTCTGACTGTTCTCTGACTGTTCTCTCTGACTTTTCTGACTATTTTCTGACTGGTCTCTGACTGTTCTCTGACTGTTCTCTCTGACTGTTTTCTGACTGTTCTCTCTGACTGTTCTCTGACTGTTCTCTGACTGTTCTCTGACTGTTCTCTCTGACTGTTCTGACTGTTCTCTGGCTGTTCTGACTGTTCTCTCTGACTGTTCTCTCACTGTTCTCTAGCTGTTCTGATTGTTCTCTCTGACTGTTCTCTCTGATTGTTCTGACTGTTCTCTGACTGTTCTCTCTGACTTTTCTGACTATTTTCTGACTGGTCTCTGACTGTTCTCTGACTGTTCTCTCTGACTGTTCTCGGACTGTTCTCTGACTGGTCTCTGACTGGTCTCTGACTGTTCTCTGACTGTTCTCTCTGACTGTTCTCGGACTGTTCTCTGACTGTTCTCTCTCACTGTTCTCTACAGGTGGAATATCAGTGTGATGGCTTCCTGGAAAAGAACAGAGACACGGTTTATGAGGAGCAGATCAACATCCTGAAGGCCAGTCAGGTAAGACCCAGGACCAGGACCTGGTCCAGGACCAATCCAGGTCCACACAGACGTTTTGTGGACACATTTCAAAATAAAACATGTCTTAGACACAGAGGAGTGTTGCTCAGAGCTGTGAGTGTAAAGCTGTGATGTCTGTTCCTGACCTTCCTGCGATCATGTGGTCATGTGGTCATGTGGTCATGTGATGGCAGCAGATTCAGAGGAGCTCTGATGAACCATGTTATCTGCTGTGTTAATTAAACTGAGTCCTGAGCTGCAGCTGATCTCAGAGCAGATTTAAAGACACTGAGAAGGTCATGTGTCCAGTGAGTGAAAGGTCCTGAAGGTTTACCCCTGATGTTAATGCACACACACACACACAGACACACACACACCCCCAGTATGTTAGCTCCTCCAGCTCTATGCAGCAGTTAGTTCAGTTTCCTCTGATGAACAGCAGGAGGCAGTGACGAGCCACATGTTGACAGATGTGTTGCACACACACACACACACACACACACACACACACACACACACACACACACTTTAACAGAACATCAGACAGGATGATCTGCTGTGATGTTTATTAGTGATTTTAACTTTAATTGATTTTTGATTAAAATCACAATAATAATCAATTTATTTTTATGTAATTAATCATTTGTTGTGGCTTTGATCTGATCTTTTTCACATCAGTGAAGCTGGAACATGAAATATTATTGATCAGTGGATCGGTATTCTCTGATGGTTGTAGCCATGGCTCGTGTCATGTGACATGGTGATGACTCATCCTCAGTCAGACTGAGTCAACATGGCCGCCTGTCTCCTCTCAGTTCCAGCTGGTAGCGGACCTGTTCCATGAGAAAGACGACCCTCCCCCCTCCAAGTCGTCCAGAGTGAATGTCCGGCCGGCGAAGTCAGCGCCCCGCGCTCCCAACAAGGAGCACAGGAAGACGGTGGGACACCAGGTGAGCCGAGCTCTGCTGTCCTCAAGTCTGTCTCTGAGCGTGTCTCATGTGTCTCTGTCTCTGTCTCCAGTTCCGCAGCTCCCTCCACCTCCTCATGGAGACTCTGAACGCCACCACGCCTCACTACGTCCGCTGCATCAAGCCCAACGACTTCAAGGAGGCCTTCTCGTGAGTCCACGCCACGTTTCCTCCAGAGCTCCGGCTCTGTCAGATACATCAGTCCAGTCACCATGAGACACACACCTGACACACAGACATACCTGAGCTGAAACCACAGGTGTAGATCGGCTGCAGCACACCTGAACCATGCTCCGCCTCTTTTTTTGTGATGAAATAAAATATTCACAGGTCACATGATCAGGTTTAAATTTATCCGATCTCAATTCGATTAGTTAAGAGTCCGTCACGTAGAGCTGATAAAAACGAATGGTCAAAGTCATATTTAAGGTGTATTGATCCAAAGATCAATCATTCATTGAGTAACACCAAGAAAACATTCCACCTTAAAAGATGGCGGCAGCTGCCGGAAGCCTCAGAGCTGCTCAGAGAATTAAAGGGTTCATTAGTTAAAACATCCTTTAACTCATCTTTTCTTCTCCTTCGTTTCTTCATCTGTGATGCTTTCACACAGAAACATGACAGACAGCTAGCTTAGCCTAGCCTGTTAGCTTAGTTACGGTTTCATAGCCTAGCCTGTTAGCTTAGCTTTTCGTCTGAATGGATGTTTCCACTGAGGCTGCTACTTAATGCTAAGCTAACTACAACCTGCTACATCATGGTCTGGTCTGATGTCACTGAGCTGGATGTTTGTCTGATGCTGCGTCAGTCTGACATCTGATCATGTGATCACAGTTCACTGATCTAAGTCAACCTGTCACTGTAGGAACAGTGGTTACCATAGAAACAAGCCATTAGGTAAGCTCTGTTATGTAAACAGCTCTACACCTTTACTCCATCATCAGTTCATCAAACAGAAGAATAAGATGATGATGTCGTCAAGGTTTAACTGTGTCCAGACAAAGAGAAGAAGAAGATCCTGCCTGTTACCCATGAATCTGAGGTCATGTGACTCACTGACTGAGCTGCAGTGTTGAACAGTGAAGGAGGGGGGGGGGTGTCACAGATATCCTGTTGTTCTCATCACGTAAACATGTTCCTGTGTCAGGCCTGTTAGATTAGACGACATCACATGACTCGGTCAGACTCTGAGCTCTCTCTCTCTCCGTCGGTCGTCCTCTGACTGACTCTGCTGAGTGATGATGATGAAGCCGAAGAGGAAGACGAGGTGGGACGTGATGTTCAGCTGAGCCTCAGGTGTGAGCTGGACAGAGGTGACAGTAAAGTGTTTCCTGTGTGTCGCTGCAGGTTCGACTCAAGGCGAGCGGTGCAGCAGCTCCGCGCCTGCGGAGTCCTGGAGACGATCCGTATCAGTGCGGCCGGATACCCGTCCAGGTAAGTCCACCTCATAGAACCACATTACAGCTCAGGTGAGCCTGAACCGCAGCAGCACTCTGCTCTCAGGCTTAAACCAGCTGCTTCTCTCTGGAGTTCAGCAGCATGAAATCTGATGATCTGCAGCAGCTTCGTGTGTCGACTTCCCAATCATTGATCTCATGATGTCGTCAAATATGTTGTTTGGTCTGATCAACAATCCAGAATCCAGATTTATAGATCTGCAGGTCTGAAGAAGAGTTTTATTTCACGTTATGTTTGACTCTGGTGTGATTCTGCTACATCATATCGAACCTGACAGCTGCTGTCGGCATGGAAATGAAGATGAACATTGATCCCGTGTTGTTTGGATGTTGGTGTTTACATTAATGTTCAGCTGTTTGTTCCTGAAGTTTGTTTCAGTCCAGATTCTTCAGGATCCTGCAGGAACCATGTCATGTAGTCTTAGTCAGAGCAATAAACAGGTGTGTGTGTGTGTGTGTGTGTGTGTGTGTGTGTGTGTGTGTGTGTGTGTGTGTGTGTGTGTGTGTGTCCAGGTGGACGTACCCAGACTTCTTCAGCAGGTATCGAGTGTTGATGAGGAAGTCCGACATGACGTCATCAGACAAGAAGCTGGTGTGTAAAAACCTGCTGGAGACGCTGATTAAGGTGAGAACACGTCGTCATGGAAACAAGAAATGGTGTGTGTATGTGACGTCACTTAACCTTCACACTGACCCCTCCCTCCAGCTATCAGGTGACTGTGTCACCCTCCCTGTGGTTTATGTCCAGCTGTTCTCCAGCTCCAGATGTTTTGTGCTGTAGAGGTTCACAGTAGGAAGGAGAGACCTCCGGTTCTGGTCTTGATCCGGTCTCTGAGATCTTTCATCTCCCTCTGGTCCTCAGGAGCCCGACATGTTCCAGTTTGGAAAGACAAAGATCTTCTTCCGGGCGGGGCAGGTGGCGTACCTGGAGAAGCTCCGGGCCGATAAGTTCCGCGCCGCCTGCATCAAGATCCAGAAGACGGTCCGAGGCTGGCTCCAGAGAGTCCGGTACCGCAAGATTCGCAAGACCGCCATCACTCTGCAGAGATATGGCCGAGGATACCTGGCCCGCAGGTGAGTTTTATTTTTTACTTTATTAGCACTGATAACCAAAGCCAGGTCCAGCTCAGGAAGGCGCTGACCTCTGAACCACACCTGAACCAGGTTTCTGAGTTCAAGGTCCAGATCCATAAAACTCTGTAGATCCAGAACTAAAACTCAGATGTTGGTTCTCATGGTTCTTCTTTATGAATCTGACTCATGTAAACAAACCTCGTTTCCCACAATCCTCCACGAATGATGAAGACTGTCCTTCATCAGTCAGTTTGATAAAGACAGGTGATCAGTCAGAAGAACAACACTCTGTCAGTGTTCAGTTACACAATGACTCACAGTAAATAAGGTGTTCAGTTACACAAGCTGTTATTTATGAAGTGTTAAATTATAAAACTTATAATGATGATAATGAAGCTCTGTGAAGTTGGTTTTATTTCTTGTTAATTGCGTGTTTTTCCCCGTGTGTTCACATGGTCACAGGATGTGTTTATAAATAACTATTTATGAGCGGAAAATGGATTCACATGGTTTCTATGTGTACGCATCACTGATGCATCTGGACCCTGATCTGGATCTGTGTCGTTACTGAGTGAGGCTCAGATGAACCTTATTAATCTTATTAATATTATTAATGTGTCAGACACAGACTTAAATCTGAACCTGTCTGTGTTCATTCAGCAGTGAAGAGAAATAAATGTGTCCTGGATCCTTCATAGTGTGTGTGTGTGTGTGTGTGTGTGTGTGTGTGTGTGTGTGTGTGTGTGTGTGTGTGTGTGTGTGTGTGTGTGTGTGTGTGTGTGTGGTTCCTCCAGGTACGCTGAGTACCTGCGTCTGACTCGAGCCGCCCTCGTCTGTCAGAAACAGTACCGCATGGTGAGAGAGCGCCGCTCTTTCCTGAGGGTGAGACGGGCCGTTGTCACCATCCAGGCCTACGCCAAAGGAATGTTCACCCGCCGGATCTACTGGGAGGTAAAGACGTCCGTCAGTCTGAGTCCCGTGGTCTCTGAGCTGATGATTGGAGACATGCGGTTTCCACTTAGTGCAGGAATGTGAGCGGAGGACAGTGAACGCTTCCTCACACTGTGTGTTTGTGTCACTCTGCAGTTCCTGCTGCACCACAAGGCCATGATCATCCAGAGGAGCGTCCGGCGCTGGCTGCTCAGGAGGAAGTTCAGACGGGCGCGCGACGCTGCCATCACCATCCAGTGTGCGTACAGACGGCTACTTGCCAGACGACGACTGAAGCAGCTGAAGATCGAAGCTCGCTCCGCACAACACCTGAAGAAACTCAACTCAGGCATGGAGAACAAGATCGTCCAGATGCAGAGGAAGATGGACGACCAGGTACACACACACACACATACACACACACAGTTTGAGTTTATTATTATTGAGCTGTAGTGAGTTAGAAACACGAAGCTCGGCCCAGTAACAGTAAACGGACATGATCTCAGACAGCCACATGGTGGACTCAGCTCCACCCAAGCCCCTCCTCTTTGACCTTGTTTGGATTAGCTGGGAGTTAGGGGGCGGGGTCAGACACTGCCAAGATAGCGACGGTGGGGCAGCTCACTCTGAGCTTCAGAAACCTGTGGGTGACGTCACAGAGGCGACGGCCATCTTTGTTTACAGTCTGTGTCAGGATCCAGGTCTTTAATTAGAGCTCATGTAAACAGCTGCAGTAGAAACTCTGAGACCTGATTACAGATGTGTTGCAGATGTGTTACAGTCTTTATACAGGATCAGTAGTGGCAGTCAAGTGTTTCCATGACAACAGTACGAACACTTCCTGTCCCGTCTCAGTCCAAAGAGTACCGCACTCAGAACGAGCAGCTGCAGATAGTGAATGTCAGTCTGGGGTCAGAGGTCAACAAGCTGCAGAAGGAGCTGGACCAGATCCGGGGTCAGCAAGGGGAGGGGAGTCAGCTGACCTCGCTGCAGGAGGAGCTACAGAAGCTGAGGGAGGAGCTACAGGAGGCGCACGCCCACAGGAAGAGGCTGGAGGATGAGCACGGCACCGAGAAACTGGACCTCAGACAGGTGAGCCCCAACCCTACCTGTGGGTCATCATCGGGCAGGATGTGTGTGTGTGTGTGTGCTACCTGTGTGGGCGGGGCCTCTAATGATCAGCTGTTGGTCTCGTCTTCAGAGGGTGGAGGAGCTGGAGGCTGAAAACTCTCTGCTGAAGAGCGAGAAGGATGAAATGAACCAGAGGATCCTGCAGCTGTCCAACAGCAGCACAGGTGAGAACATCCAGGTGTGACTGACTCCTCCCCCTGTCCTGGGGAGGGGGGAGACAGGAAACAGGTTCTCTGCTGGACGAATCACAGACAGAGGATTCATCACTACCGTGACATCACATCAGGAGGAGACACAGCATCCAATAGGAAGAGGAGGAAGAACCTGTCCTGTAGGATAGACCCAGGTCCAAGTCTGGTTCTGGATCAGGGTCCAGGTCAGGTTCTGGGTCTGGACTGGGGGCATTTAGTTGTTTTGGTTAGGGTGGGTGGGGCAATGAATAATGTTTTAGATTTTTTTCGCTGGGAAGAAAGAAAGAAGAGACAGGTAGAGAGGGAGGTGTTTTCCACAGGTGTACACCTCTGTATTTCACTGAGTACAGCCCCCTGGTGGTGAGAGAGAGAGTTGCAGCTCATGTCTCGTTCAGTCACAGTGTTTGTATTATTTATTACAGAAACATTCTCACTTTATAAACATGTTTTTTTGGCTTTTTGTGCCTTTAATGGACAGGAGAGTAGAGAGACAGGAGATGGGGAGGCAGAGAGAGGGGGAATGACACGCAGGAAAGGGCCGTCCGATGCGGGAGTCGAACCAGGGGCCAGCTGCAGCGAGGACTGTAGCCTCTATATATGGGGCGCCTGCGTAACCCACTGCTACGCGACGCGACGCCCCACTTTATAAACATGTTTGATTTGTTTATATTTATAATATTAATGTTGATGAAATATGAATATTTAAAGTTCATGGGGATTATATTTATGTGGTGTGTGTGTGTGTGTGTGTGTGTGTGTGTGTGTGTGTGTGTGTGTGTGTGTTTGTGTATCAGACGGCAGCAGTGTGTCTCAGAGGGAGGAGTCTCTGGGGGCGGAGCTGGACGCAGAGAGGCAGCGGTACCAGAACCTCCTCAAAGAGTTCTCCAGACTGGAGCAGAGATACGACAACGTGAAGGAGGAGCTGTCCCTCACCAAGGTGACCTGTGACCCCCTCTGACCTTTGACCTCCTGTGACGCTCTCCACTTCTTAAACACATCATGACATCACAGATATTTTCTGGTCCAGGGATTTAAGAGAACTCGTCTCATGTTGAGGTTCCAGTCGTCTCCATGGTAACAGTGTCACACAGTTGTATCCATTGTTACAGAGCCTCCATCAGTTTGACAGTTTGTTGAATGAACGGTGATAGCTTCAGGCTGACGTGGAAGTTTTGTCACTCATAATTTCATGTGATGCTGTTACCATGGAAACGTCAGACAGGAAATAGATTCACGGAGCAGAGAATGATGATGATGATGATAATTACACAGCACATTAAAATGTGTTCACTGAATTAAACTCTGTCTCACATCATCCTCCAGTTCCACCCCGGCCACAGGAGGAACCCGTCCAATCAGAGCAGCCTGGAGTCGGACTCTAACTACCCGTCCATCTCCACTTCCGAGGTCGGAGACACCGAGGACGCCGTCCAGCTGGTGGAGGTGAGTCAATCAGAGAACTTGATCACCTGGACCTGATTTAAAGTCATCGATGAAGTGGGAGGAGTTTGTTTTGTGAGTCTCTTTCCATTTGAATAAGTTGATATAATATTTACCAATATTTATTAAGTCTGAGGCTCCAGCACAGAACCTATAAGAGAACCGTTAAAGTACTTGATCAATAAGCAGTATTGGTAAAAGTCGTAGTACTGATAAAACCTAACGATCAGTAACGTGGAGATGTTGGAGACAGGAAGCAGAGCAGGTGTTCTGAGGTCAGTGAATGTGACGTGGTGTGTTCAGGAGCTGGGGGTGGAGAAAGCTGCGATGGACATCAGTCTGTTCATGAAGCTGCAGAAACGAGTCCGAGAGCTGGAGCAGGAGAGGAAGAGGCTGCAGCTCAACGTGGACAAGATGGAGGAGCTCGCCAAGCGCCGGGTGAGGAGTTATGATCACTGTTTATTCATGTGGGCGTACTGTCACACTGTAGTCCTGTCACACTGTAGTCCTGTAGTCCTGTCACACTGTAGTCCTTTAGTCCTGTCACACTGTAGTCCTGTCAGCTCTCCAGCTGCTGACGAGGACCTGACTGTTTCCTGTTTCCCTCTCTCAGGGCTCGGAGGTGAAGAGTCCCACCTCTCAGCAGGAGACTGCAGATCTGGCCTACAACAACCTGAAGGTATGAACCTGACTTCTTCTTCTTCTTCTCTCGCATTATAAACGTCCATCACCTCCTCACCTCAGAGGCAGCACTCTGACTGGAGAGGAAGTGTTAGCTGAAGTGAAAGTGCTGGAACGTGTCAGGAAAGGTGTAATCATGGAAACCAGTTGTAAAAGTAACTGAAATCTCAGTGGAAGCGGGAGCAGTTACAGTGTGACATCTGAGAGTGTTGGTCAGTGTCACATAAGGAAACTTTAATTTAATATAAACTGTAGGTTAATAATATAAATATCAGCTGTTTCAAGTGGTTCTGTGGACTGTGGCACATGTTTCTAACAATAAAATAATAATCTTTATTTATAGAGACTTTTCTAAACCTGTGGTACAAAGTGTTTTACACAAGGAAGCAAAATAAAACAGGGAGATCACAAATAAAACCAGCAAATCAGAAATACAATTTAAATGTCTCAGTGTAAATAAACCAAGGCAGCATCAGCAGCAAGAGGATGATCAGTAAAAATAAATTAAATAAAAAAATAAAAAGTTGTCAATAAAATGAAGTAAAATCAGGAAAAGTTCAATGATAAAAGTTTTTTTAAGAAGAGATTACTGACTCCAATAACAACAAGAGACCTGAGGCTACGAGCTGGTTCACATGCTGTTCACAGGTCAGATATAAAACATGGAGAGAGCCGTGAAGAGCTTTAACAGTAGGATCTAAAACATCCAGGGAGCCAGAGTCAGGAGGATAAAACCAGTGTGAGGTGGTCTCTTCTCCTGAGTTCTGTTCAGTCTGGAGCTGATTCATAGATCTGTGGTTGAGGCAGGTGAAGTGCTGCAGCAGTCGAGGCATGAGGAGATAAAATCATCTCTGTGTCTGTAAAAGATAAAATAGATTGAATTTTAGAAATGTTTCTCAGATGGTAAAAACATATCTGTTCCTTGGTGTGTTCTCAGTCTGATCTCAGGCACTCAGACGTAACATCCACATGTAAGGATTTAGTTGTAGTTTTGTCAGACTCAAACAAAGGTTCAAACAGTTGGATCATAAATAATGATGCAGGGTAATTTGATGTAAACTGCTCCCTCCTCTGGACGCTACAGAGGCAGGAGCTGGAGTCAGAGAACAAGAAACTGAAGAACGACCTGAACGAGCTGAGGAAGACCATTGCTGAACGTGCGTCTCAAAACAACTCGTCCAATGAGCTGCAGGACAGCTACAATCTGCTGCTCAGCCAGCTCAAAGCAGCCAATGAGGAGCTGGACGCCCGCAAGGAGGAGGTGCTCATCCTCAGGACTCAGATTGTCAGCACAGCCCAGCTACAGGAGAAGAACCAACATATAGTAAGTTTCAATGTGAAAACACTCCCTCTACAGTGTGGTGTCACCAAGGGCTGTCTGATGTAGTGGAGGACAAAATAATATAAAACTTTAAAGGTAAAATAATAAGTTTAGTTTCAGCATTTAGAATCACTTTCAAATCATTGAGTGTGTTGAGCACTGTTAAAAACAGAGGTGGTGTACAACAGTAAACGACAGTATCGTCTGCATAGAAGTGGATGTTTGTGTTTGCAGGTTCTCTGCAGGAGTAGACACACAGATACTGTTTATCAAAGTAAACCTGTGAATATGAAGAGTAAAAACAAGTGTCCCCTGAATTGAACCCTGTGTTTCACCAGAGGAATCATGTCCCTGTGTTTCAGGAGGAGAGTAATAATGTTCCTGAGGTGGAGAACAGTAAAGAACCCGTGGACAAAGAGGAGGCTCTCAGAGCGTATCATGGACTGTGTGACTCTAAAAAGTAAGTGACTCTTCATCATCTCTATAGAGTCAGGTCATATGATCAGTTCATGGTGATAACAGTGACATGTGAGTACAGACAGAGTCACAGACAGAATCACAGGAACATGAGCAGTGTTGTTTGGCCTGTTGACTGTGTGGTGATGTGCTGAGTCTCTGCTGACAGATGCTGATACTTTCGCTTGCTGACTAACAGCTGCAGTCTGCTTCCTCTCTGTTATCTGCATTGTTCTCAATATCTGCTTTTTCCTCTCTCCTCCTCCTCCTCCTCCTCCTCCCCCTTCCTCCTGTGACACCAGTAACCAACAGGACTGGTGTTATCTGAATGAAGATGGAGAGCTGGGTTTGGCTTACCAGGGCCTCAAACAAGTGGCCAGGTTTCTGTTGCTTCACTTCTTCTTCTGCTGATTTTTCTTCTTATTCTAACCTTTAATTACAGTAACAGCTTGTTATTTTCGCTCACTGTCCTCTGGACGTTCAGCATCACCAGCTTCTTTGTGTCTGTAGAGTTTCCATGTTGAAAGATAAGGATCATGTGACTGACGGTGAACATGAGGCAGCAGCTGCTGGTGTCAATATATTAATATTATGCAAAATATGTCATGTCTTGAAAAGTATCATTAAACAAACAAATTAGCATGTTAGCTGCTACACTGTATTAGACTCAGGTGTGCTCTCAGGTCTTACAGGTAACAGTGTGTGTTGAGTCAGGCAGGTAAAGGTGTACATGGCAGTCAGAGGGTGTCTCCACCTTACAACAGGATGTGAACACAGCATCATGTTGGTACCAGACCTTCTCTGGTGGTCAGACCTGTGACTCTCCCAGTTACACTCTCTAACCTGGTCCTTCAGGCTGCTGGAGGCCCAGCTGCAGTCTCAGTCCAGGCAGCACAAAGACGAGCTGGAGGCTCTTCACACTCAGATCGAGCTGCTGAAAGACGACATTGAGAAGAAGCAGGAGATCCTCAACTACACCATGTCTCTTTCCCCGGAGGCGCAGGTGGAGTACAGCGTCCAGCAGGAGATCACACGGCTCACCAACGACAACCTGGTGAGGAAACCACAGACACACACCGCACACACCTCACACACACCTCAGACACACACCTCACACACACACCTCATACACACCTCACACACACCTCACACATACCTCAGACACACCTCACACACACCTTACATACACCTCACACACACCTCACACACACCTCACACACAACTCACACACAACTCACACACCTCACACACACCTCACACACACCTCACACACACACCTCATACACACCTCACACATACCTCAGACACACCTCACACACACCTTACATACACCTCACACACACCTCACACACAACTCACACACCTCACACACACCTCACACACACCTCACACACACCTCATACACCTCACACACACCTCACACACCTCACACACACCTCACACACACCTCACACACACCTCACACACACACCTCATACACACCTCACACATACCTCAGACACACCTCACACACACCTTACATACACCTCACACACACCTCACACACAACTCACACACCTCACACACACCTCACACACATCTCACACACACCTCATACACCTCACACACACCTCACACACCTCACACACACCTCGCACACCTCACACACACCTCACACACCTCACACACACCTCACACACACCTCACACACACCTTACATACACCTCACACACACACACCTCACATACACCTCACACACGCCTCACACACAACTCACACACCTCACACACACCTCACATACACCTCACGTACACCTCACACACACCTCACATACCCCCCACACACACCTCACACACACTTCACTCATCTCACACATCTCACGCACCTCACACACACACGCACCTCACACACACCTCACACACACCTCGCACACACCTCACACACACCTTACATACACCTCACACACACCTCCCACACACCTCACACATCTCACACATCTCACGCACCTCACACACACACGCACCTCACACACACCTCACACACACCTCGCACACACCTCACACACACCTTACATACACCTCACACACACCTCCCACACACCTCACACATCTCACACATCTCACGCACCTCACACACACACGCACCTCACACACACCTCACACACACCTCGCACACACCTCACACACACCTTACATACACCTCACACACACCTCCCACACACCTCACACATCTCACACATCTCACGCACCTCACACACACACGCACCTCACACACACCTCACACACACCTCGCACACACCTCACACACACCTTACATACACCTCACACACACCTCCCACACACCTCACACATCTCACACATCTCACGCACCTCACACACACACGCACCTCACACACACCTCACACACACCTCGCACACACCTCACACACACCTTACATACACCTCACACACACCTCCCACACACCTCACACATCTCACACATCTCACGCACCTCACACACACACGCACCTCACACACACCTCACACACACCTCGCACACACCTCACACACACCTTACATACACCTCACACACACCTCCCACACACCTCACACATCTCACACATCTCACGCACCTCACACACACACGCACCTCACACACACCTCACACACACCTCGCACACACCTCACACACACCTTACATACACCTCACACACACCTCCCACACACCTCACACATCTCACACATCTCACGCACCTCACACACACACGCACCTCACACACACCTCACACACACCTCGCACACACCTCACACACACCTTACATACACCTCACACACACCTCCCACACACCTCACACACACCTCATACACCTCTCACACCTCACATACACCACACACACCCCTCACACACACTTCACACATCTCACACATCTCACGCACCTCACACACACACACACCTCACACACACCTCACACACACGTCACACACCTCACTCACCTGACTCACCTCACACACAGGTTTTATAAAGTGTGTGTGTTGTGTCTGCAGGACCTCAAGGAGCTGGTGGAGAAACTGGAGAAGAACGAGAGGAAGCTGAAGAAGCAGCTGAGGATCTACATGAAGAAGGTTCAGGAGTTAGAAGGTGAGGACACGCTGGAGGTGAAGGTTGAAGCTCAGACTGAAGTTTGTCTCTGACTGACTTGTCTCTGTCTCTGTCTCTCTCTCTGTCTCTCTCTCTCTCTCTCTCTCTCTCTCTCTCTCTCTCTCTCTCTCTCTCTCTCTCTCTCTCTCTCTCTCTCTCTCTCTCTCTCTCTCTCTCTCTCTCTCTCTCTCTCTCTCTCTCTCTCTCTCTCTCTCTCTCTCTCTCTCTCTCTCTCTCTCTCTCTCTCTCTCTCTCTCTCTCTCTCTCTCTCTCTCTCTCTCTCTCTCTCTCTCTCTCTCTCTCTCTCTCTCTCTCTCTCTCTCTCTCTCTCTCTCTCTCTCTCTCTCTCTCTCTCTCTCTCTCTCTCTCTCTCTCTCTCTCTCTCTCTCTCTCTCTCTCTCTCTCTCTCTCTCTCTCTCTCTCTCTCTCTCTCTCTCTCTCTCTCTCTCTCTGTCTCTCTCTCTGTCTCTGTCTCTCTCTCTGTGTCTCTGTGTCTCAGCCTCTCATGCGGCCGCTCAGACCAGCAGGTCCAGACCTGAACTGAGTCGGCAGGTCACGGTCCAGAGGAAGGAGAAGGACTTTGAGGGGATGCTGGAGTTCTACAAGGAGGACGAGGCTCTGCTGGTGAAGTTTCTGATCACAGGTCAGTCCGCTTCAGTCCTCCATCTTCTCTCCATCATGTGCTGAGGAGGTCAAAGTCTGAATGACCTCCTCTGTGACCTTGTCCCCTCGACCTCAGTGGAAAACGTCATGAGGTCAAAGTGGTCAAAATGTGACTGAACTCACACTGAAATTTATATTTAACTGACTTTATTTCTAACACCTGGAGGATCAATCCTCCTTTAACCACAGAAACAAACAGAACTGACACGTTAAAAGAAAACATGAAAGAAAAAGTCAAACTGAGAAAGGTAAGTAAGATAATTAAATAGAAATAATGAACTGAGAATAAATGATATTCAGACAGAAGTTTATAGTTTCCTGATATTTCTATACATTTGTTCAGTAGATAAATTCATGTTTAGGTCTTTCCACAATGGGAGGATTCAGTGAGACAACATTAATGTATAGACTATAGTATTTATTTATGATGATGATGATGTAACTACAGATTCATCAGCTCGTTCTTCATGACGACTCCTGACGGACTGAAAGAGAATGAATCTATATTTATGGATCTGAGCTTCAGTCCATCAAACAGAAACAGCTGCTCTGTTGTTTCTACATTTATGTGGCTCTGCTGTGGTTTTAAATGTTGCTGCAGCAAGGAATTGTGGGACGGCATGTCTCCTTTCCTTTGGTAAAGAAAGCTCCAGTGTTTCCTAAAGGAGATGAGAGAGGAAGCAGTGAAGCTCCTTTCCTCACTCTGATCATGAAGCTGCTCAGAGACTGAAGATCTTTTCTCTCAGTCTGAAGCTTCAGGAGATAAAAGACTTTTCCACCTCAGCCTGAGGGTGTTGATGAAGAGTCACAGCTGGTTTGTTGACCTCTGACCTCAGCATGTGTTTAAAGGGACAGTGTGTCTGTTTTCAGACATCAAGCCTAACACGGTGTCAGCCACCGTCCCCTGTCTGCCGGCGTACATTCTCTTCATGTGCATCCGCCACGCCGACTACATCAACGACGACCAGAAGGTGGAGTCTCTACTCACCTCCACCATCAACGCCATCAAGAAGGTCCTCAAGGTGAGAGTCGCTTCCATCACAGGTTTATGTCCTTCTACTGAACTGCTGGTCTTTAAACACTTCCTGTCTTCACTTCCTGTGCAGAAGAACAACGAGGACTTCGAGATGACGTCCTTCTGGCTCGCCAACACCAGCCGTCTGCTCCACTGTCTGAAGCAGTACAGTGGAGATGAGGTCAGCCACACTCTCACGGACCATGATGCACTCTGTTTTTCTTTTCACTGTTGTGGTTGGATTTGGTTCCTCAGTCTGCCATTTTTTTTATTTGAAAAAAGTCTTAATTTACCCAGAATTCATTGCACCACAGTCTGTCTGAAGAACTAAACTGCTTTATGCAGCAGATGAATTCAGACTCTGTCTGTTTGTTTTAGAGTCACAGTCTGTTTGTGAAACCAGCTCCTGGTTGTCATGGTGACATAGAGTTACCATCCTGACATCCTATTGGTCGGTCCAGTGTCTTCATGTTACCATGTATGACTCAGACATGTTGTTGTTGTTATGCTGCTGTTGTTGTTATATTGTTGTTGTTGTTGTTTAGGTGTTTATGACTCAGAACACAGTGAAGCAGAACGAACACTGTCTGAAGAACTTTGACCTGGCCGAGTACCGGCAGGTTCTCAGTGACCTCTCCATCCAGATCTACCAGCAGCTCATCAAGGTCGCCGAGGCAACCATCCAGCCCATGATCGGTGAGTCCGCCTCAGTCCTCAGTCCACCTCAGTCCACCTCAGTCCGCCTCAGTCCTCAGTCCGCCTCAGTCCGCCTCAGTCCGCCTCAGTCCGCCTCAGTCTACCTCAGTCCACCTCAGTCCACCTCAGTCCACCTCAGTCCACCTCAGTCCACCTCAGTCCTCAGTCCACCTCAGTCCACCTCAGTTCTCAGTCCACCTCAGTCCACCTCAGTCCACCTCAGTCCACCTCAGTCCACCTCAGTCCACCTCAGTCCGCCTCAGTCCTCAGTCCACCTCAGCCCACCTCAGTCCACCTCAGTCCGCCTCAGTCCTCAGTCCGCCTCAGTCCGCCTCAGTCCGCCTCAGTCTACCTCAGTCCACCTCAGTCCACCTCAGTCCACCTCAGTCCTCAGTCCACCTCAGTCCACCTCAGTCCTCAGT